TGCAAATCCCAAATGAAACAAGTGAATGTGGATACAATTTGTGATAGATAAAAATTATATGATTTGTGGTTTACTAGTAAAGTTGTAAAGAACTATCCAAAATGTCATTTAAATAGCCCTTTGTACACCACCTCACATATTTCAATCAATTTGTACACCACCTCACATATTTCAATCAATTTGTAAAAGAGAATGAGAAAAGGGGTTTAACTTCCACTCAACACAAACTAGGTCATTTCAGGACTAACATATATGGGTTTACGGGGCAGGACGATTTACCCAATACTGATCACATGTCTACCAAATGTACATGTATGTACTATTACATACATTTTGTATTACCTAATTTTTGAGAAAAACTAATATAATACTTCAATTTCATAGAAAAAAATTGAGTTAGACTTTTCCAGTTTATTGTAAAAATTTGGCCAATATCAAGGACTAATTCAATTTTTGTGGGGTATACAAATGTAGATGTAATTCAACCTCTGTGTTAGTTTTTAATAATAATGAGGTAGTATTGGTATTTGGTAGTATTTAGTTAGTATTGGGTAATTGGGGCCTGTTTCACGAAATTTTAACTAAGATAAAAATCCAAATTTTAGTAAGTGGATTGGATAATATTAGACTGATTGTAGTGCTTAGCCAATCAAACGTGAAGTATCTACTAAAATTTGGATTTTATCTTTAGTTAAAATTTTGTGAAACAGGACCCTGGTCCTGTCGAATCTGATTGTATCTACGTAAGCCTGTGGGCCTTAATGGGTGTGTGGCTCTTTTTTTTTTAACCTTGAAATAGACAAAAATGGTTCTAAAAGCACATATTAATCTGAATGTATGTAAAGTGATTTATGTTCTTTTTTTGAAAATAATATTGTAATTTCTAATCAATTATATTCGGTGAAATATATGTATGTGAACAGTTCAAAGTGAACGGCAGTCGTTTGTTTACGCCTGCTTAGTGCATTCTATACGTTTTTTCAATTATAAATTTTTTTGTTTGTGAATCAGCCTTTACTAATTATGTACTTCCACATTGTGAGTGAGAGAGAGATAGAGAGAGAGTGAGAGAGAGAGAGAGAGAGAGAGGGAGAGAGAGAGAGAGAGGGTTTAACGTCCACTCAACACAAAATAGATCATTTCGGGAAACCGGAGGACCCGGAACACAGCAAGACAACAACATCAGTATTGATTGAAATTGATCAATATTGATTTCCTTTAATTGTGTGTTATCTGTTTATTTGTATTAATATTCACAGGGTGACATGACACAACACTCTATTTTCTATTTTAATTTCACTGTGTCATACATGTATACATAGTATTACTAAATATACACCATGTAGATCAAGTAGCAAGACATGTCAACCATGACAAATTGTAAATAAATAAATAGCGTGTGAAAGAGACTTTATTTCATTGGCAACTCCTTCACGGATGTACACAGAATGTTACCGAATGAACACCCTGTTGTTATTGTGTGAATGATATCAACCTTAATTATACATTTCACCATATTTAAAACTGTAAACGAAACGTTTTGTATATATATATATATATTTAGCAGTGTAAATTCTAATGTATTTGAGAGAGAGAGAGAGAGAGAGAGAGAGAGAGTTTAACCTCCTGGTGACACAAACTTGGTTATTTTGGGGCTAACATATGGTTCAATTTTATTTCAATAATTCACTTGCGTACTGGTCTTTAGCAGTTGGAGGAAGAGGAAACCGGAGGACCCAGAGAAAACCCACAAGGTTGTCATGTACAACCGGGGAATCGAAACCACACCAGTGGCAGTTGGCTCAATGACAGACCTTATGATACAGCACACACGCTAACCATTCAGCCCATCCAACCCCCGCTATATATTTAGAAACATAAATTGTAATGTATTTGAATGATAGATGAAAACATATGCCACTAAAAAAATAACATTTTTTGCACACATCAAAAGATGTTTAATAATGAAATATATTACAATCAATCCTAAATACCACATGTACATTACGTATGGTTTTATGGTCGAGAGCCAGACATTAAGTAATATATTGATACTGCATGTGGCGTTACAGGGGCGGATCCAGAGGGTGGGTTCTGGGTATCGAAACCTCCCCCTGCTCTGAGTGCTCAGCTACATAAATTTTTTTGTAAATGAACACTTTTTATCAGAAAGGTTTCTCGGCCGTGTGCTTTATCCGTTATCGTCAGATGTGGGACAGGATGGGCACTCAAAGCATGAGATAGTGATATAGACATTATGTGATATCACAATTAATGCTTTGCATCAATAAAATTGAATCACAATGTCATCGTATTAATTCATTATAAAAATTGACGTCAAACGAGGTGTTGAATTTCTCTGTTTAAAAAGCTCAATGTGTATGTATATACACCAAAATGGTGATAGAGACCATGCAGGAGGGGGGGGGAGAGATACATTGTCTCAGGAACCTGGCAAACCCCCTCCTGCAAAAATTCCTGGATCCGCCCCTGCGTTAGCTCGAGTGTTGCTTCAATATATTACGCAATGTCTTTAGCTCGAGACCATTAAACAACTTAAAATACAGACACTATCCTGCACATGCTTTTCAATGAAATACGTCACACAAGTCCAATATTTCATCTAGTATAGATAATGTGTGATTGGCACATTGCCCTTATATTATTGGAAATAATGGTACGCCAACATCAAAGGATGAAGTCACATCTGTATTTTAATCTCATATCCCCTTAACACAACTATGTTACACAGTATGTTACATGGTATGTTCTATAAGTAATAACCAATTGTCCCTGTCTCTGTTCTCTGGTTTTTTTTATAGAAAACTAGAACAGTTTGTTTTAAAATAAACCATAGGAGACATTTGATAACCTTATCAATAGAAATGATATAAAGTCATATGCTGTAAAATAAAATATAAAAATTGGGTTTTTTTTAAAAGAAAACTAGGACACTTTGTTTTCAAATAAACCACAAAGGATATTTGATAACCTTATTAATGGAAATGATATAATAAAGGCATACAGAGTATGTTGTAAAATAAATTATAAAGATTGTTTTTTGTGTGAAAAATGCAGAAAAGTGTTCATTTGTCTACGATTTATCTGTGAATGCTAACAACTACACAATTGTCTTCGGATCACACCGTAACAAAGGAATAGTTAAATTGTTTGAATATGACACAGAAAGAAGCACATCTTTAAGTTAAAAATAGATGACAAAGATGTTTGAAAATCAGAAGGACATGGAGAGTGTGTAACACTGACAGTCAGGTCACACTCATCGCATGTGGCTAATACACTTCCTTAAGATAATTTCATTAAACAGTATTGTAAACAATGAATTGATTTTGAGATTACATGACATTTTACTACATAATATACACAAATTTTCAAAAATGGTTTATCTATTCAGGGGGGTTGGATGGTCGATTGGTTAGCACCTGCGCGCTGCATGTATCATAAGGTCTGTCAATGAGTCAACTGTGTTTTCTCTGGGTCCTCCGGTTTCCTGAAACTGCTATATGTTTCAATTTTATTTCAATAATTCACTTGCACGTATAGGGGTCTTTCGCAGTGGGAGGAAACTGGCTGGCCTGGAGAAAACACCAAGATTGGACATGCGACCCTACTCCTTGTCACGTAAGACCGGGGAAGCGTAACCACGCCAGCTGACTCAATGACAGGCCTAACGATTTCCGGGAATAAAATGATATCTACTGTCCTCATATTGTTAAAATGAAAGTGTTTCAAAACACAATTTAACTGAAATACTTTAAAGAAATTTGGAAGAAGAGAACTAAATGGAACATTTTGAGAAGATTGGTTTGCGTGTTTTTGAATCTGTTTAAAACACAGATCCTATTTTGTTTTGTTTTTTATAGTTCAAAATGTTGTTTTAATTGTCTGTACTACATACGTTGTAAGGATCTGGAAGAGTTGTTATATAACCTGTGTTCCGAATGATGTGAGGGATTGGCCAATGAAATGGTCTGTTACAGTGAGGTGCACGCAACTCTGGGTAACCCACTAGATACATCAATGCTGATTGGTTAAATAAATGTCTGACGCCATCGAAAGTATATAAAAAAACGAAAAGAAATATAGATCTGTATTATAATCAGATTGTCATCCATTTAAATACTGAAATATTAATTTTGGTTCGGCCGATTAATGGCCGCATTAACTCAGCGGTTAAATGTACAAGAAGACAGAAATAGTTCAACTGAAAACTAGGAGGCAGGCAACAGGACTGACAGACGATGGCCTTCAGTCAAGTTTTAAAATCCCTTCCGAGACTTATCCTTTTGCCATCCATGCCAATATTATAAGAACAATATATAATATTCATTGGCAAGGATATGACAACTTTTGAGCCTTTAAATCCTCATTGAAAAGTTTCCCAATCCTAGGCTAATGCATATTTTTATTTACCCAATAATGTTGTCCTGCAGTACTGAGTTTAATTAAAATATGTCTATATAAAAACATATGTAAATATGAAGACTGTTATAATAGAATTATTGATTAATAATAACACTAAGACCTTATAAGGCCAATGGTTTCGTTAAAAAAGGTCAATAAACGTCTTTATTATGCTGATTATAAACGCAATGTGAATTAATTCCTTTCAGTTAGTGACTTATTAATTAATTTGAGAGTAATATTCCATAGTTCACGTGAAATATTTCGATCACGTTCGGAGATGCCGACAACGCGGTCGCAATAACGGTTGATTGCGTGTCTTTAGTAACAGAAACGGTGGTTTACTCTTTTCAAGAACGTGGTATATTGCAAGTAATGCACGATTGTTGTCGCACCATTTATCATGAACTTTATTAAAGAGTCCATGATTACATATCAACATACGAACTGACTACTGTAGAGTAATTAGTAATCCGTGATTAGCAATCAAGACTTGTCAATACCTGACAACATATTGATTAGCCCTTCCAATCACCAACATACAGTTTTCATAAAGTATTGAACACATATCTTACCTCTATGCCAGAAGCACCAAAATGTTCCACCGCTAACTTCTCAAAATGGTCCACGGCAATTAATCCATCATCATCCTCGTCACAGACATTGAAAACAGTTTTTAATTTATCCAAGAATTCTTGATCATCCATAGCAAGGAAACACCCCGATATGTACAATAATTCCCCTGTCCGTTCCACCCACCGTACTCACGACTTGTCAGCCATAATACCGTTATCAACCTGATTGCTCATAGGTAAAACAGGACGCTGGACAAGACCGCGACCCAGAAAGTAGATCTAAAAAGAATCTAAGTTAAATATTTACACGGTTTCCGTTTCATGAGTGTTTATTTCCCGTAAAAGTAACACTTTTTATTATTTGTATCGTTTTACAGGTTTATTGGGTTATTAAGAACTATTAATAAACGCGCACCTTTGTCAATTACGCTGTACCTGGCGTAGTGATATCTGTCTTACGTGTGACAGTGGGACATGTGAAAAGTGCAAGTTTGAGTTTACTGTTAAACGGGTAGGTGTCTTCACTATCATCACACGGGATTAAAAAATAGAAAAGTAAACATTGTCACAGTTTTGAACGTTTCTTAGAAAAAACTAGCTTATATTGACTCAAGTAAAATAAATAATTCACGGATACATGTATTATTAAATTTGAGTAAAGCCGAAAGTATGTTTTGTTTTGATAAAAAAAAAGAAATTTTTTTTTGTGAAAATTTAAATTCAGACAAAATTAACATAGATGATAAACGATATAGGGTTTTATAATTCAAGTTTTACTTAAGGATATCTTAAATTTGCTCTCTTACAAAGATTGCCATTAGATGATTTTTTATTTTTATTATTATTTTTTTCAATAGTTTTTCCTAAAAAAAAATATCCTTAAATTTTTTTTATCATGACAGAGAGAGAGAGATGGGGTTTAGCATCGACTGACACAAACTAGGTCATTTTGGAACTAACATATGGTTCAATTTTATTTCAATAATTCTCTTGCGTGTAGGGGTCTTTAGCAGTGGGAGGAAACAGGAGGACCCAGAGAAAACCCACGAGGTTGGACAGGGGCCACCCTACTCCTTGTCACGTACAAGCAGGGAATCGAAACCACGCCACTTGACTCAATGACAGACTTTATGATACAGCGCACACACGCTAATCATTCAGTCATCCAACTCCCCAGAATTGAGAGAGAAATGTGGTTTAAAATCCACTCTTTACTATAAATAGGTCATTTCAGAACTAACATATGTTACAGTACGGTATTTATGGTACAGTGTAGGGGTCTTTAGTAGTGGAAGAGAGAGAGAGAGAGAGAGAGATATGGGTTTTTATGTACACTTGACACATACTACTTCATTTCGGGACTAACATATGGTTCAAATCTATTTCAATAATTCCGTAGCGCCTAGGGGTCTTTAGCAGTCGAGGAAATGAAGGGCCTGAAGAAAACCCACCAAGTCGGGTAGACGACCCTATTCCTTGTCACATACAAGTTTGTGATCAAAATCACGCCACTTGACTCAGTAAAAGAGACACACAAACTAGGTCATTTCGGGACTAACATATGGTTCAATTTTATTTCATTAATTCACTTGCATGTAGGGGTCTTTAGCAGTAGTAGGAAACTGGAGGACCTGGATTAAACCCTTAAGGTTATACAGGCCACCCTACTCCTTCGTCATGTACAAGCAGGAAATCGAAACCAAGCCACTTGACTCAATGACAGACCTAATGATGCATTGCACACACGTTAACCATTTGGCCACCCCCCACTCAATAAGACCTTATGATCTACGGCCTAGGTCTATTTCTTAAGGCCACCTCCAGATTTCATCAAGGTCGCCAAGATGTAAATAAGGCTAGGGCACGTGATTGTTGGGGAGATTGTGGATGACCCTGACGAAATCTTGAGTTGGCCTTAAGAATTAGATCTAGCCAAATGTGGACCTGTTATTTTACTTGCAAAAATCTCATGGTCAAAGTCATTTTTTTAAAACTAGTCTCAGTTCTAAATAGTGAAAGAATTTAATGCCAAAATATGATATAATCATCCAACACCAAAATGTGAAGGAACAGCCCAATTATTGTAATTTTCAAATCATTATATTGAGCCATTTGCAAAGGATGGCTTGATTTGCTCAAAATGAAATGGGGTTTAACGTCCTACTGTTGTGCTCCGAACTGGGCTAATAAAGACGGGCATACGCCATACAGTGTGCTATGAGGGAAATTTTGTCCGGACAGCTGATTTGCTCAATAGGGTTACCCATCTCATCTTCATTTGTACGAGATCTCCATAGCTAAATATGATCAAATACAGAATCAACACCCAAAATACCTGGGGGGTTTTGCTTAATTGAAAGAAAAATATTTAATATTTATAACAGCTGACTTTTAATACAGTGTTTTGTTGGTATTAAAAATCTCAACAGGGCTTCTCAATATCCATTATTGAGTTATTTCCCCTTAGTCTCCATAATCACATCCCCAATTTTCCACATGGATTAAAAATGGCATAATAAATTAGCATATTAGCTTATAAAATGCACTGATTCCATCACAAAATTTGTTCATCTAATAACCATTGGCTAAAATGGGAGATAGCAGAAACCAGTGAGACGTCAGTTCAGGACTTACATACCGTTCAATTTTATTTCAATAATTCACTTGCGCATAGGGAGGAAACCGGAGGACCTGGAAAAAACACACGAGTATGGGAAGTGACACTACACCATGCCACCATTTGACTCAATAGCAGACCTTAGGATCTAAAATGCCCCCCCCCCCAACTCACAACAGCAAACACATCATGAATTGGCAATGCACTCAAATAAAAAAATTAAAATAAAAAGCTTGATCATAATATGCAAAATTTTATTACATACAAAACAGTTTCTTAAACCACAATAACATGAACAAAACAAACAAAATAAAACAATTTAAACTTCAAATTGTTTATCTGAAATTTTTACTTCCATTTATGGAAAATCATGAATTTGTATCATAAATCTTTGGATAAATTTTCAACCCACTTTTTAAAAATAAAATCCATATTTTTACAACATGGTATAGAAATCTATGAAACAAGCCAACAATGAGGTCAATGTCTCCTACCAAAATTCCAAAATAAATAGATAACATTAATTAACTGCGCATTTATCTTTTCAAAAGCACTGAGCAATCAAACTGATTATCTATACTTAGTCTAAGTATAAAATGACCACGATCAAACTCAGTCAAAGTTTTATGTACCTGGTAGTGAAACTAACACTTAAAATTCATCACTCTCCATCAGTCAGAATCAAAGTTATATTGTCCCAAAGCATCGACCAATGAAAATGCTTAGCTCTGCTTAGCTTTAGTGAAAATTGTTAATCATTGAACTCAGTCAAGACATTCACCTAATGAACATCTACATCAAGTTTAAACATTTATATCAATTAAAAGCAGAGTTGTTATGTTTTAAAGTCTTAACCAATCAAATAGCTTATCATTTAAGCCGAAAATTCTTATCATGGTACTTATGTATTGATACATGTATAATGAATCTATACTATACGTTTCATCACTATCACCAAATTAGAAATGAAATGGGGTTTGACGTCCTACTTTTCTGCTTTGACTGGGCTAATGAAGACGGCACCAAATTAGAACCAAAGTTATTGTGTTCCAAAGTCTCAATCACATTGCTTATCTCTGCTTAGCCTTAGTAGAAAGAGAGAAAAATGGGGTTTAACGTCCACTCGACACAAACTAGGTCATTTTGGGACTAACATATGGTTTAATTTTATTTACATAATTCGCTTGCGTGTAGGGGTCTTTAGCAGTGGGAGGAAACCGGAGGACCCAGAGAAAACCCACGAGGTTGGACAGGCGACCCTACTCCTTGTCACGTACAACTGGGGATTCGATAGCCATAGTGGAAAGTGTGCATGATCGAACAATGTCAAGGCATTCGGCCACTAAACACCTACACCAAGTTTTAACATTCTGCCTCAGTTATTGTGTTCCAGAGTCTCGACCAATCAGATTGAAGTCTCAACCAATCAGATTGAGGTCTCTACCAAGCTAAGCAGAAATTGCTTATCATTAGTCAAGGTATTGATGTAATGAAACTATAAGCAAAGTTCCATCATTCTCCTCAATTAAAATCAATGTTATCAAGCCTCTAAATCTTAACCAATCAAATTGCTTTACCCCCCCCCCCCCCCCGAGTAGAAAATGCTTATTATCGAACTTTATCAAGGTATTGACATAATGAAACTATACACCAAGTTTCATCACTCTCACTAAATAGAACCAAAGTTATTGTGTCCCAAAGCATCAAGGAGTTATTGAGCCCCAAAAAGTATGACAGAGTGACGGAAGTGTGACAGACACATTTTAACAGTCCCCTGATTTCTTCGAAAGGCAACGGGGACAATAATTCTACAAATTGTAGAATACATTGGTTGGATAATTTTACATATACATCATTGCGAAATATCTCAACACTGTTTCATATACATACACGCCCCCCAGGACTCAATTCTATGGAATACAATTTTTGTATATTACTGAGCAATATTTTCCACCAGTCTTCATTAAGTATTATTCCATAACAAACAGGGAGCGGTTTCACGAAATTTTAAGATAAAATCCAAATTTTAGTAATTTGATTGTATAATATTAGATTAATTATAGTGCTTAGCCAATCAAAATTGAAATATCTACTAAAATTTGGGTTTTGAGAAACAGGTCCCAGACTCAGAGTTCACAAAGTATTTTCAGACTTAAAAGAGTTTACTCAAAATTGTTTGCCTTACATCAATGAGAAAATAGGTGCAAAGTTCTGTGTTATTGGATCAAAGATATTTCTCATAAACAGTGATTGAAAGTTGAGTAAATTCTCTTGTCTTTACCAGGTATTATTCTGTAATTAACAGTAAATGTATCCCATACAATTATATAATATAGTGTATTATTCTTTAAGTGGCATTTAGTCACTGGGAAGATAAATCAACTATAAACATACAGTGGACTCTGTCACATCCGATGTCTGATCACTCCGGATTGCTGTGACATCCGACATGATTTTCATGTCCCGATTTATTTCCTTTTACTTCAGCCAAAAAAATCGCTGGTAAATCGGGATTCTGTATGTTCGGGATTCCGACATCAATCAGCCGTCCCGTCACATAATTTCCACTGAATCGACACCGTATAATCCGTACTTCAAACGGTGGGTGTGAAGCATCCAATTATCGGTGAGATTGAAACTCAATGGGTGTGAAGCCAGAAAAGATTAACAAGCAATCACCAATCAATTATCGGTGAGATTAAAACTCGCAAGCGCCGGTCTGTGTTGATTACTTTGATAATGTTATATATTCTTTGTTGATTATAATCTCTTGTAAGAGTGCGCTGGGTATTTTATTTTAGTTACTCATGTCAAATACCGCGACATTATATAAAAATTGCCGCGATTGAAGAATCATTATACATTATTGTATTCAAAATGTCTGAACGTCCTGCAAAGCGTGCCAATGCTTTGTTATTGTTAATTATTTAATGTAATAAAATTTTGAAAGTACAGAAAGGTTTCATTTTTAAAGGGAATAGCATTCTCGTGATTCGAAGCTACAAGGTTTATCATTTTTAAAGGGAATAGCATTCTGGTGATTCGAAGCTACAATATAAAAATACTTCCGGTTTTCGAAGTTACAGTATTTCCGGTTTTGGAGAAAGCTCAGTATTCCGACACGCTGTGTGATCCGAAATATTGTAACGATCCCGTACGATGTCGGATGTGACAGAGTCCACTGTACTTATGGAAAACAATTACCAATTTATTTAGGCGACGTTTCGCAGAGTATTCTCTCAACGTTTTTTCAAGCTAATGTATTGAGAGAATACTCTGCGAAACGTCGCCTAAATAAATCAGTATTTGTTTTCCAAAAGTATGTTTATAGTTTATTTATATACAGTGTATTTCCAACTAACAATACAATAGTTTGCTTCTGAGTGAAAGGTTTTGCAGGGGACAATACTCTTAAGCCTGGTCACCAGAATGTTAAATCATTCAACCACCTTTCAATACCTTACAATCCAAACTGACACGAGTTATCCACAATATATTTCTTTTCATTTCACTGATTTTTTTTTTTAGAAAAGATCGATGTTTATAACCCACATAATCATAGCTCTGGATTCACACGTTCCAATATCCACACAAGATAGTTGTATATAAAATGATATTTCTTTCTCCAGTTGTTCTTGTCAGTTCATCAATTTGGGTTCAATAAGTTCATTCCAATTTAACTCAATCTGAAAACACATGAAACAAGAAGACTATAGTCATCAAAATCACACATACTTATGGAAAAGCAGTTAATTATTTATTTGCGCAACATTTCGAACAGTATACTCTCAAAGTTATCAAGCTAATACAGAATATATATAGCTGTTCTAGTTTATTGCTCTATCCAGTTACTAAATGCCTCTAAAAGATCAACACTGTAGTCATCACAATCCCACACCCCTTTATACCAAAAACTATGCTAAATCATCAGTTATTTTATAATCTCAAACATAGTCGCAAATTAATATTTTAATATTTTCCACATTACAGACACCTGTATGTAAAATTTGCTTCCGTGCAACCCAGATTATTAAACCATAGAAAATTATATTTTATTCTTTGAGAGTGCAGTTTGGCTCCAGGCCCGAAAATACGGAGAAACTTTCTTGGTCAAAACCGGGAGTGAACCCGGGATCTACAGAGAGAGAGAGAGAAATGGGGTTTAATGTCCACTCGACACGAACTAGGTCATTTCAGGACTAACATATGGTTTAATTTTATTTCAATAATTCAGTTGCGCATAGGGGTCTTTAGCAGTGGGAGGAAACCGGAGGACCCAGAGAAAACCCACGAGGTTGGACAGGCGACCCTACTCCTTGTCACGTACAACCGGGGATTCGAAACCACGCCAGTCGACTCAATGACAAACTTTATGATACAGCGCACGCACGCTAACCATTCGGCCTTCCACCTCCCCCCCCCCCCCCAGGATCTACAGGTTAGTGAGCTAATGTCTTACTCACTGAATCACTGTGGCTTCCCTAACATTACATTTACTTACATTATACTCTTGAAGTTTAGATTCTGAATCTGTCTGTTCAGTTTCATCAGGAATATCAAATTTACCAGGTTCTGTTTTAGTTTCTGTTAAAAAAAACAAAAAATAGGTTCGAGATTTTGTCAAGATTTTAAAAGTGAAAGTAATAAATTTAATTTCAAACGGATGATAATTTTGGTCTCTACAGCATCCACAAGAATTTTCAAGTGGATCAAGGGCCACATTTCAATGTAGGCATATAAAAATGATAGAAACCGTAATACCAACATTACCTGCGATATCACCTTGTTTGAAAAAGGACATAAAGCTGTTTACACATATTATAATACCAACTGTATAGAGAGAGGGTTTAACTTCTACTGACACAAACTAGGTCATTTCAACAACCAGGGAATCGAAACCATGCCAGCTGACTCAACGACAGACCATATGATACAACGTGCACACGCTAAACATTTGACCATCCAACCCCCCAACTGTATAAAAATAAAAATATTTTCTTACTGATCTGACCAATCAAATGAAGGTTTATCATCTTTGTAGCATTATCATATGATACAACACCAGCTTCCTAAAATAAAATAGATGGAGAATTGAGATTAAACACTAATAACTTGTTAGGGATTACATGGGATTAATCCTTTTTTGTAAGTTTGTTTCCTTTTGTTCCCTTGCAAATCCAACGACTTTGTATAATGTGCAACTATCCCCAGATCCCTTCAGCGGCTTACAGAGCTATTTTGTCTTGTCTTCTAGGTCGCTGGTTCATCATTTCGTATGATGTGAACATCATGCACTTATTATTAGGTTCAATATATTTCGGGGAACTTGCTGAAAACCGACATGTCTAGGTAAACAATTCTATAATATATATGTTCTATAGTGTCCAAATCGGAGATTTCCAAACTACAGAATGACCATTCTGAACCTACTGGGCTAATGCCATACAGTGTGCTATGATGAGGGAACTTTTGTCCTGGACAGCTGCACTACGGCCTACCTTATTTAGAATTACAACTATCAAGGGTTTTTTTTTTACATACACATGCCAATGTTTACACAAGGCCTATTTTTCTTCCCATCCGAATAACTATAGAAAAGGTTTGGTTCTGGTTAAAAAAAAATAATTGAAACGAAACGGGTTTAATGTCCTCGACTGGGCTAAAGATAGGCATATGCCATGCAGTGTGCTATAAGAGATATTTTGCTCGGATAGGGGCACTACAGCCTACTCTTATATTGAATTCCAACTGCCAGGGTATCTTTTACGTGCACGCCAATGTGTACACTGGACCTTGATTTTTCATCCTATCCAGGCCTTCAGTACCACTAACAGGGATGGAACTATGCCGGAAAATCCTGATGAACTTCCTCAGCCAATGCAGGGATCAAACACAGGAACTTCAGGTTACTCACAATGCCCCCCCCCCCCCAATATATTGTTTTTATTAAAATACAGAAATGTTATTAATTTCGAGTAGTTTGTACATTACCTTGTAAGCTGATACTTCTGGAGAATAGGTTTCAGACAATTCTAAAATCTGAAATTAAATGATAAACTTAAACATACCTTATGCAAGAGCTAAATCTGATTATTGCAAGTCTTTATTTAGGCTTCAGATGTCATAGAAATTATAAATTAGATCTTTATTTACACAACAAGCACAAAATCAACTCTGTAGACCCACGGATGGCTTGGATTCGGCTTGGATTTAAACAGGATTTCGTTGATTGATTAAATTTTTAAATGGCGTCGTAAGCGGAGATTAACCGTTACGTTGACGTGATACTCCCGGAAATAATTTTAGATCGAGGCTAAATGATAGATTGTACGAAGCGAGGCCGCTGTTGAGCGAGGCCGCGTGTCAGTCAATTTGATTGAAAGTTTGATATACATGTATACGGCCTTGATATTATGTTTAGTTGTGGTTAAAATGAGAGTTTGGATGTCGGTATTATAGGCTACGCTCTTTTGTCACTTGCGTTTACAGAAAAATTATAGAAATTGATAAACATCGCAGCTAACATCACCCCAGTTGAATTGCAGCTACATTGGATCACTGTTCGGGAGTTACGCAGGCCTACCAGTTACAGTACAAGAGTACACGCAGGCTAACAAGAAGTCGGCTATACTTATGCCTCATTGATTTGGTCCCTTCCTTTCAAACTTTCCTTTCTTATCTATATATTAAAAGTCTTATTTTTAATTTGTAGTAAAAATAAATGTGATACGAATTGAAATGCAACCTCGTCTCAAACCACAGCTATTAAAAAAAGGTTACTTGATAATCGAGATTATGTAGGAGTTGACTCCCATTTCTAGTCAAAAATTACATTAGTGATAACTTGTTCAGAATAACGTAATTTGACTGAAATTTTCAATATATTCTTCTTTCATCATCTATTTTTGAACTGTTATAGCAAGAATGGCCAAATCTCTATAAAAATCTCCTATAATGTATCTTTAACTATATTACTGGACCTGGTTTCACAAAGCATTCTCAGACTAATGAATTTACTCAACTTTCAATACTTTTTGAGAAATATCTTTGTTCCAGAAACACACAAATTTGCACTTAGTTTCTTATTGATGTATTTGATACAAAAGTTTAAGGATCATATTTTGGTTAAAATATGGTGAACAATTTTGAGAAAATTCTTTGCTATTAATCCTATAATATCCTTATTTACCTGTATTTGGATACATACGTTTATGTCAATTCCCATTTCCGTATTGAAGCTTATCTATTATTAAGCATTGAACCAAAATTTGTTAAATTAATTTATACTGTAGTTTATGTTGATTAATTTTTAAAGTTACAATTTCATATTTTTAAGTTATATTTTTAAAATGTATTAAAATAAAGCCCTAAAATAGATGGTATCTATAAACAGTCCTACCTTGTTAAAGAATAATCCTACTAATCCTATAATTCACTATTGCCAGTTGAGAAATTGGCAAAAATATCATTTTCAACTTTAAATTCAAACGTTTGAAGATAGCTATTCCATGGGGGGGGGGGGGGGAAATAGAAAAACAAGGGAGGTAATTGTGTTATTATTTCTGGGGTCAAGGGATTTTTAAGAGGGAGAATAATACCTATAATCGTATAATAGTGAGTTGACAACCTATTGATTAAAAGACATAGAAATAATCATGTTTTGACTTTCTTAGAAAATATGAAATTATCGCTTTAACTAAAGTCTGAGAATGCTTTGAGAACTCAGGGCCTGATTTATTCTACTTGCTGAAAATACAGTAAATGGTGATGGTGAAGATCACCTGGTTAGTGAGAGAGAGAGAGAGAGAGAGAGAGAGAGAGAGGGTTTAACGTCCACTCGACTAGGGCATTTCGGGACTAACATATGGTTTAATTTTATTTCAATAATTCCCTTGCGCATAGGGGACTTTAGCAATGGGAGGAAACCGGAGGACCCGGAGAAAACCCACGAGGTTGGACAGACGACCCTACTCCTTGTCACGTACAACCGGGGATTTGAAACCACGCCAGTCGACACAATGACAGACTATATGATACAGCGCGCGCACGCTAACCATTCAGCCATCCAACCCCCCACCTGGTTAGTGAACTAGTGTCTTACGCACTGAGATTTAATGTTGAATCTACACAAACTAGGTCATTTCGTGACTAACACATGATTCAACTTTATTTCTTGCATGTAGGGGACTTGAGTGTAAGGGACTTTAGCAGTGGGAGGAAACCGGAGGACCTGGAGAAAACCCACGAGGTTGGATAGGCAACCCTACTCCTTCCCATGTACAACTGCGGAATCGAAACCACTCCAGTTGACTCAATGACAGACCTTATGATACGTGCACAAGCTATCTATTAGGCCACCCAAACCCCCTCCTCCCTGAAGAGGATCGAATACAGATACTTCTAATTGAAAATCATTTTAAAATGTACAAACCTTATAAGCTATTTTATCACCAGCTCTTGGTGGATCATGTAACACTGGGAATGTATTATAATCTTTAAATGGTATAGCCTCAAAATATTCACTATCTAGAGAATTCTCTCCCTTGTCAGAACAACCTGATGCCTGTATAAAAAAGTTTAAATGACAATATAAATAACATCATTTCTGGTGAACTAATTCTATTCATGACCCCTCGTCCAACCTAAAGTATGAAATGAAATGGGGTTTAACGTCCTATTGTTCTGCTCTGAACTGGGCTAATAAAGACGGGCATACACCACACAGTGAGCTATGAGGGAAATTTTGCCCGGACAGTGGCACTACGGCCTACTCTCATATCGACATATCAAATTTCAACTGTCAAGGGATCTTTTATGTGCACACCAATGTGTACACGGCATCTTTGGTTTTTTTTGTCTCACCCACGAACTAGACAGCTGTCCATGGCAGGCCCTCCGTCCTGTATCACTGACAAGGGGGGAACCACACAGGAAAATCCGGATGGATTTTCTCGGCCAATGCAGAGATCGAACACCAGAGCTAGCGAGCCAGCATCTTATCCACTTAGCCACCGTAATCCCCCCTGGGGCAATGAAGACAGGCATACGCCATGCAGAGTGCTATGAAGGAAAATTTGCCTACTCTTATGTTTCTTACTTGACCAACACCAGGATCGAACACCGGACCTCTCAGTTAACAGACCATCTTACTGAGCCACCACTACTCCCTCTTTCTTCCAGGTAAGTTGAGAACTAAAGGAAGGGAAGTGAAATGGGGTTTAACGTCCACCAAACAAATAAGGTCATTTCGGGACTAACATATGGTTCAATTTTATTTCAATAATTCGCTTGTGCGTAGGGGTCTTTAGCAATGGGAGGACCCGGAGAAAACCAGGGAATCGAAACCATAACAGTTGACTCAATGACAGACCTTATGATACTGCTAACCATTCAGCCATCCTCCCAAGTGAGAACTAAGTTAAAAAACTACTGGAATACAAAAACACAAACCTCAACAGGTATTTCTTCCACTGATTGTTTCGAATTCTCAGGTTTTTGACTCGTACTAGAATCTTTGCCCGGTTTCATTGAAACAATTCTTGAAGAGTTTGAATCATCTTTAGTTACTGTTAAACTTAAATCTTCCTCGTTTCCATTCGTTGTAGTTTGTAATCGAATCTCTTTCAGGACCTCTGTGACTTGCAGACCTCTCATTTTACGCATGCTTTTATTGCTTGCTCGGGGATACGAATTGGGGGTTTGGGAACGAGGCTTTAGAATAGAAGGCATGCGAGCACTAGATATTTCTGGGGTAATAACTCTAAATGAAGTTGACGGAACAGGGGGGGTAAGTGCACCCTCCACATTTTCATTATCAGAGTCTGATTCAAATTTGATTTTAACATTGTTAGGACGTTGATCACTCGGCAAGTTCATTTTAATATCTTTAGTCGGTTGAAGAGGTGGAGTGGGTGTTTTGGGAACAGGTGTCAAACTTTTTCTCTTTCGATTTCTTTTACGTTTCTTTTTGGTCTTTTCCGCAATTAAAATGGTTGGCATTTCACGACTTATTTCCATAACTTCTGGCTCATTGTTTGCAGACACGACATTTAAATCTGGGCTTACAGTTTTATTTCTTTTCAGTTTTTTTTTTGCTCCGATTCCACCGTTTTCTACGACACCGTCATCACTTTGCAACAAGTGAACAGTTTCTGATATATTGAAATTTACTTCCGCATGGTTGTCACCTATATTTTGGTATTCTGAAGCATCCACTGCCTTTGTTTTTACTGATTTGTCTTTTTTCCGTTTCTTTTTACGCTGATGATTCTCCAGATCGGTTTCCTCTGTATCATTAGCTGAGGCTGATGGTATTTCAGCATCGGAAGGTTTCATCCCATCAATCCTGAAAAATACATGTGGGAAAAAATCAAGAGAGAAATGGGATTCAACGTCCACTCGACACAAACTAGGTCATTTCGGGACTAACATATGGTTTAATTTTTTTATTTCAATAATTCGCTTGCGCTTAGGAGTCTTTAGCAGTGGGAGGAAACCAAAGGACCCAGAGAAAACCCATGAGGTTGGACAGGCGACAATACTCCTTGTCACGTACAACCGTGGAATCGAAACCCCGCCAGTTGACTCAATGACAGACCGCATGATACAGCACGCGCGTGCTAACCATTTGGCCATCCACACCCCCCGCCACCCCCCGGGGAAAAATCAAGCCTTGACTCTAAGATGATGGGAATAAGATATATAAAATGTTGAAATGAAGGGAAGACAGATGATGTGAGACTTTGGGCTGCTGGCTTACCAATGCTGCAAAGGACAAATATTTAGCTATGTGAACTCGTCAAATATCGAGGAGCCACGGTGACTAAGTGAGTAAGACACTGGCTCGCTAGTCTGGAGGTCGCAGGTTCGATTCCGAGAAAGTTCATCAGGATAATCTGGTGTGGTTTCCCCTTGTCAGTGGTGCAAGACTGAGGGCCTAACAAGGGACAGCGGTCTGGTCATTCGGATGGGACGAAAAACCAAGGTCCCGTGTAGACAATGGCATTGGTAGTTGGCATTCCGGCTAAATGTCCCTCATAGCACACTGTATGGCGTATGCCCGTCATCATTACCCAAGTCGGGGTAGAACAGTAGGACGTTAAACTCCATTTTATTTCTATCTAGAACATAATACACTTCATTTTCCTCCAACAAGGAGTTAGAGCAAGTAGAAGTGGAATTAAGGGGCTTTAAGAAATGCTAACCCTAGATTTGTCTGCATGACAGCGATTTTGCTGTTTATCTTTGACACTTTCTTAGAGACATTCTCGACTGTTGATTGAATTGCATTCTGGTTCATTTGTAATGAGACCATCGTACTCTGTAAAGTCATCAGTTGACATTGTAAACTATTAAACATGGACAGTATCTGCTGGTTCTTTATCGCTCCTGAAAACAAATGAAAAATGAAATGAAATGAAATGAAATGAAATGGGACTTAACATCCTACTGTTCTAACTGGGCTAATGAAGACGGACATACGCCATATAGTGTGTGCTATGAGGGAATTTTTGCCCGGACAGCGGCGCTACGGCCTACTCTTATATCAAATTCTAACTGCCAAGGGATCTTTTACATGCACGCGGGTAGCGGGACCTCGTTTTTTTGTTCCATCCGAACAACTAGACAGCTGTCCTTGTCAGGCCCTTCGTCCTGCATCACTGTGAAGACAAATGAAATGGTATGTTTACTTAGCATTTTATTGTGATTTGAATAGAGTATTAACAAATTACAAGTTAGTCATCTCTCCTGGAATTAGCAAATGATCACAATTTTCAAGGTTTTATGAATTTGAGTGCGCAAAAAAAAAAATAGCACTCACGAAAATCCCGAATTCTTTTTGTCAAATTTTTAAAGGCCAAAATCTTGTCATATAAGCTTACACTCCTAATCCACAACAATACCTGATGTGATGGCTAAATCTATTTGTTAAGGCCAGCTCAATTTTTGTCAAGGCCACTGAGATGTAAATATGGTTAGGGCAAGTGATTGTTGGCGAGATTGAAGGGTAAGCTTTGGGGCTAGGTCGACGGTTAGGGTTAGGGTTGGGATTAACGCTAGTCCTGTTTACATCTCGTGACCTTTGATGAAAAATCGAGCTGGCCTTATTATTTAGCACTAACCCTACAAGAACGTGGGTAACAAATGAAACCAAATAGAGAGGGAGGGAGAGGGAGAAAAGGGGTTTAATGTCAACTCGACACAAACTAGGTCATTTCGGGACTAACAAATGGTTCAATTTTATTTGAATAATTCGCTTGCGCTTAGCGGTCTTTAGCAGTAGGAGGAAACTGGAGGACCCGGAGAAAACCGACGAGGTTGGACAGGCGACCCTACTCCTTGTCACTTCCACACGGGATTCGAAACCACGCTAGTTGACTCAATGCAATCCAAACACCCCTCTATAATATCAATGGAAAATATACATATTTCCTTGGATTGAAAAAAGGTTTTCAAAAACCCAGACTATCTAGAAGGAATAGTGGAATATTTTTTATTTAATGAAAATTTATTTATTTTGAAGAATTTCTAGGTCAAAACAATTTGCGAGGCTTATAAGTTTTTAATTTGTTGAAACAACATATGTGATTTTCAGATCAGTGAGGTCAGTCCTCTCGACACACCCATATTGGAGTGTTTTTTAAAGTTATGCTTATTATTATGGCTCAAAACAATAATTGTTCAATTGCATAGACTTGAGAACTGGAATGTCGATCAAGTTATTGGGTTTAGAGAATTGATAGCAATTAACTTCTGCATGTGCTGCAGAATAGAGAGAGAGAGAAATGGAGTTTAACATCCACTGAACACAAACTATGTCATTTTGGGACTAACATATGGTTCAATTTTATTTCAATAATTCGCTTTGCGTATAAGTTTTTAGAAGTGGGAGGAAACTGCAGGACCTGGAGAAAACCCACGAGGTTGGACAGGCGACTACTCCTTATCACGTACAACCAGGGATTCAAAACCACGCCAGTTGACTCAATGAGACCTTATGATACAGTGTGCACGAGCTAACCATTTGGCCATAAAAACCCCCATGTACTGCAGAATAAAATGACAGCTCTCGCAAAGTTAATACCCGGTACCATAAGTGTTCTTGTTCATTTTTGCATCAATCCGATTAAAACACAGATCCTATTTCGTTTCGTTTTTTATAGTTCAAAATTTCGTTCTACTTGTCTTTACTACACTAGGATCTGGAAGACTTGTTATATAACAGGCGTTCTACTTGATGTGAGGAATTAGTCAATGAAACTGTCAGTTACGGCAAGTTCTTGGCCTTTTTATGCATGGAACTGTGGGTAAACCACTAGAAACGACAACACTGATTGATTAATTAATGTCAGAAGTCATGGGGTCAAAAGCCACTCGTTTGACCCCTGACGTGAACTCCCACTATAACTTGACAGATTTTCATGTAGTGTAGGCCATCGAAAGTATAAAAAACTGTATTTTCATTTTTGCATGAGAAGTTGTATGTTCACTATACCATACCTGAACTATGTGAATTTTTATCACTAGAGGAGTCCATCATGGGAATAGGAATAAGATTCATCTTATTAGATGACAAACCAATCGCATCAAGATCTATCATATGTCTACCATTCATCATGTCAGATTATTCACCATCTAAAATATCAATAAATTTATTAATTAAATGAAATGGGGTTATTTTGGTACCAACACATGGTTCAATTTTTATTTCAATCATTTGCTTGCGCGTAGGGGTCTTTAGCAGTGGGGGAAACCGGAGGACCCCGAGAAAGCCCACGAGGTTGGATTATTAAACATACATTATGGGAGATAAGATAATGAGATGGCAGTTCTCGCTATAATAGTTAAAAACTAGATAGTGTAAAGGTAATTTGCTGAAAATTTCAGTCAAATTGATCCACTATGAGCCGAGAACGAAGCGGGTGAAATTTTCGTATAGTCTCGGTCATCATTACTAAAATCATTAATATAAACAGCATAGTCTCGGTTATCCACTGTTTTGATTTAATTATCAATGAGCGTTAGCAGCATATAGGATTCTAATCCAGTCGATATCGAAGACTAGCCTTGACATCGAGAGTTTATTATGGTCTGGATAAGTTAATTAATGTCTAATTGATAATTTAGATAACATTTCAGGCCTAAAGAAAGACTTGTAATAAGCAGATATTGCTCTTGCATAATGCATGTTTAAACATAATTATTTGTTAGTCTGAAAGAAAGTGCTCAAACTCAAGATTGTTACGAGTTTGAGTCAATAATTTAAAATTGTGCGGAAGACATAGCGGCTCAATAACCATGCAGGAAGCCCTGGGATCGATTTCACTGTTGGTTCGGGGGTGTCAGTGAGGTGGCATGCAAGGAAAAGTGTCCCGTAACTGGATGGGACGAAAAATGATATGATCGAGTAGAATTAGGTGGCAGGTCGTTCACCTTACCCGTTGGTGCTTTAGTCATTTCAATGCTTAAACATGCATTATGCAAGAGCTAAATCTGCCCAATGCAAGTCTTTCTTTAGGCTTCAGGGGCCGGTTTCACGAAATTTTAACTAAGATAAAATCAAAGATTTTAGAAATTTGATTGGATAATATTAGATTGATTTTAGTGCTTAGCCAATCAAACTTGAAGTATCTACTAAAATTTGGATTTTATCTTTAGTTAACATTTCGAGAAACAGGGCCCAGATCTTTATTATCATCTATTTTTGAATTATTATATATATAATATAGCAAGGATGACCAAATATTAAACTCTTAACTAATGTATCTTTAAAGTGAGAATTTCATATTTTCTAAGAAAGTCAAAACATAATCATTTCTATGTCTTTTGCTCAGTAGGTTGTCAACTCACTACTGTACGATCATAGGTATCATTCCCACACTTAAAACTCATTCGCCCCAGAAATAATAACACAATGATCTCCCTTGTTTTTCTATTCCTCCCATAGAATAGCTTTCTTCAAACATTTAAATTTGAAGTTGAAAATTATATTTTTGCCAATTTCTCAACTGGTAATAGTGAATTATAGGATTATTCTTTACTAAGGTAGGACTGTTTGTAGATACCATCTATTTTAAGGCTTTTTTTTAATACATTTTAAAAACATAACTTAAAAATATGAAATTATCGCTTTAAAAGACGAATATTCTGTATACACCATCCCTAATTACGGAATTGTTTCTTTTGTCATGCATTTCTGACATCTCAACAACTGACATTCTCTGCCAAGCACAGATATTTACTCTGGAGGGGAAGTGAGAAAGGGAATTGATTTTATGTCTATGACTATCATGAGTATGACCTGAAATTTCTGCAAACATTTTTCAAGATTCAGACAAATATCTCAGAAACAAAAATTGCAATCTATTTCATTTCAATGATATCTGACAAATATGAAAATACCATGTATGGCAAAGTATTGGAAATATTAGTGGCTAATTCTCGGTCAGCTATAACAAGAAGTTTCTTCTTCTATCTCATTTTGCACGTGTTGCTGTTGTTGTCAGACCGAAAAACTAAACCAACCTTGACCTTTCTCCCGATAAAATTTAGTCACGTGACATCACATTTAAATTATTTTTATCTGAACTTTATGAATTTATAACAGTTCTCTTATGGAGGATAATTATTTTAAGCCAGCACCAATGATTCATTGATTGTCAAATTCTATATTCAAAGAGTATCACTCCATAATTTAAAAAAGACGTTTCGAGACATTAGGCTTAGTCTGTAGTCATTTTGTCCTACATTTCCGAGACTGTTAAACCAAAGGAAGTATGAATAATGTGATTTGAAAAGTTTAATTTGCTGCATTATGTCTTTTATTTGGTGGCTTGTTTATTGTGTTAATTTGCCGTTTAGTTGTCAAATAAAGCAATAATTGTCCAATTTAGAGACTGACTGGGGCGAAACGTCTTCAATGGCTGTCAGTACTGTCACTTTGTTACGAACTTGTTTTTTGAAAATGGAGTTAAACTGCACGTGGAGCGATGTTTACCATTATTATCTTACGTTTTCTTGATTGATCTGTGTGATCTAGTGATTGTTCCCGACAGAAATTAGTTTATTGAATCTATTACTTTAAATATTTCAAAGTATGTTTTTATTTTATCTCTGATTTGATAAGAAAAAAATGAGTTCAGAATGACAATTAATTGTATGTAAACAAACTTTACTCAACTGGGTGAATTACTTATTCAAATTATATTGGCATATGTTCAAACGTTATGCTATTTTATTATTAGAAATTGAAATCAATCAGTTTGTTATATGACAGGGCCAATATTCATTATGTCAGCTTATTCAATTTTTACTCTTCAATTTAAAGAAATTATTATTGTAGATTCCTGTCACTACTAGTCACACAGTGAGTAGGCCGACGCTACGCCTACGGTAACAGAATACTGAGATTATCATATTATGTGATTCCTAATCTTAACCTAATCTGTCCATGCTCTGCAGAGTAAAAGTATAAGATGCATTTTAATTTATGTTACCTGTTTGACCTTAAATGGTCAATTAATTGTCCAAATCTTAATTAACTGGTAAAAAAATGTTCATTTCAGGATGGCTTCACCAGGTGATTTAATTCGTCGAATTCTTCTTGATCTTCAAAAGGTAAGAAATGTCTGATGCCCGGGGAGATTTACAAGAAATAAATAAAATTTATTATTGAAGCTTGTTAACATTGTTCTTAATGTATTTGACTGTTACTGGACTTGTCAAATGCAGTAATTAATGGTACTTGATTGTCAGGTTACTACCAGGGTTTGACATGCAAAGTGTGTCTAGCTGTGAGAATGAAAGGAAAACATAGGTACTGACTCTTGTGTTATTGTGTGTAAAAGTATACATTTGGGCAAAATATATGTTATCAAACTCTAATTAAAATACACCCACCAACAGCAATTTCATCCGACTGGCTAATTGGTTTTTGATTTATCTATATAATGCATCTCTCATCTTGTTTATCTACTAAAAGGTTTCTAATTATTTGCTTGATAACGATACCTGTACATGTGGCTATTAAACAAAGTTAATATCCTTCCACCAATTGTACAGCACTGTAATGTTGGGTCCACAATGAAATGAAAACAAAAGCTCTTGACTCATCTTTGAAATTATCAGAAATGAAATGAAATGGGGTTTAAAGTCCTATTGGTCTGCTCTGGCTAGTGAAGATGGCATTCTCAACATAGTGTGCTATGAGGAAAATTCTGCCCTGACAGCGGCACTATGGCCTACTCTTATATCGAATTCCAACTGCCAAGGGATCTTTTATGTGTACACAGGGCCTTTTTGGTCCCATCCAAACAACTATGAAATTGTCAGTGTGCCTAAAAGATCCTCTTCTGCACTGTAATACAGAAAAGAAATAGATATACAGGTACAAGTATTTGCATTATAATCAGCTCGGTTTATTTTATTTTCAGGGGAAAAGTGAAGAATTTGATTTATTTGTTAACAGTTTGGTTGATCCTAAAACTTCGGTAATGAATGATTTTATTTCACTATGTGTGTATCTATGCAAGCCTGAAAATAAGGCACCAGTCACAGACATTGTCTGGCACAAATTCAGGCTTCGTCAGGCACAGTGTCTCTGATATGTTTAACTTTTCTTTATGTTTTCATTTTTATCATTAAAAAGTCAATCTCAAATACATTTTGGAGAATAAAACTGCTTAATTTTGTGTTAAAAATCCTTAAAACTAACTCACTCACTCAATATACATGATATGCTTTCAAACAACTTAAACTTGTCAGTCTTCATCTGGAAATGGAGACCGGTGTCCCAAACTGTATTATACGTTGTCTGGATAAAACCTGACTTTTATTTTATAAAAATGACAAGAAGGTAAATTTACGGAACAGCAATAGATTATCAGGTCACCCAACGAAAAAATTGACCTGAAATCTAAGAGTTGCGTGTTCCGTTGAGCGGTCCTGATGTTCACGTCCAAACGACTCAATATACCATTCCTCTATATTTTGGCGCTATAATTTGATACGTACACAGACTTTTAAAGGAATGGTCCCTTTATTATGTTAACTTTGGGGGGGATGGGTGGTTCTCGAAACAATCCTTCTCAAAAAATTGATGCGGGAGGGCGTTTTTTTGTTTTTATTTTGTCAAAATCTAGCTATTTTTTAATTTTTAAGAAGCACACAAAATTATTATGAATAAAAAGAACAAAAAATAAATATTTTGAAATAATGGCTGAACAATTCTGTGATTTCATCCAGATTAACTCCTGGGAAAATGTTTTCGAATTGTAAGCAAAATCGAAATGATGATCATTTACTGTAAGTATTTTCTAAACTGATGTACATATTTTTTCCATTTTAGTCAGGAACAGTGAAGAATTATTTAAAAGGATTAAAAGATTGTGTAACTTTATTTAATAAAACAAACGAATCATTATTAATAGCCATAATGGTGAGTACAATAGATTCAGAATTAAACATACATTATGCAAGAGCTAAATCTGCCTATTGCAGATCTTTCTTCATACTCCTCGCAGTGTTTCGTTTGATTAGAGCTAATCCCACTACTCACTGCTGTATAGAAGACAAATTCTTGTTCTAAATTATGACTGGTCAATAGTCCGATTAACAACCAATAGCTTACTGCGTAACAATACCAAACAGCGCTTCAAATTGGACCAAATATGTTTACATAACGTTACGTCATGACTTATGAGTTTATTTTTCCCAATTAACCAGTGCATAGCAGAATATTGCAGAAAAACTAATTGTGTGACAAACAAGGCTTTCAACTGTCAACACGATTTTTACTCTATGGATATAATGTAAACAAAATTGTTTTGAGACGAACAAAACTTTCACCGTTTTTAAAACCTTAAATCACTGTCCAAAGTTTTAGGGAAGACCCCTGATTAAACGAAGGGCTGTCATGTTGCTGTGCTTTTGGATAAATTTGATTGAACGGGAAGTATAGACACACTCCCTCAAAAGCACAAGTATCAGAAGCTAATCCAGCAATGGCCAGAGAGGGATTTCTCGGGCCATTGCTTCAGGAATATTGTCTTTCTTTAGGCCTGAAATGTTATATAAACTATTAATTAGACATTTATTAACAAAACAAGAACATAATCGACTCTCGATGGCATCGGATACTTGAGATTTTAACTACATTAGAACAGTTCACCATTTAAAAATATAATTTAAAAGTGGGAAAGGGAGACTATACCAGTGCCTGGACAAGACAGTGTCTAGACTTTCAGATGGTGCAAAAAAATCAAGGTCCTGTGTACACATTGGCGTGCTTGTAAAAGAACTCTTGAAAGTTGGAATTCGATATAAAAGCAGGCTGTCGTGCAGCTGTTTGAGAAAAATTTCCCACATAGAGAACTGTATGGCGTTAGCCCAGTCGGAGCAGAATAGTAGAACGTTAATCCCCATTTAGTAGGACGTTAAACCCCATTTTCATTTCATTTTGAGATTTCGAAACAAAGGATTTTAAACTTTCTGAACTTACTTTTTTTCTCCAGAAAATGAAGTGGTTGAATCAGAGTGAAGGTGTAATTAAAGCTTATCATGATTTACTGATTAATTTGATGTCAGCCAATACACATTATGTTAATGTCAGTTTAAACATGTTAGTTAGATATTTCTTACCAGGTAGGTGACTGATTACATATTTTAATGACATTCAAATTCAATGAATGTTTTAACGGCATTTAATGAATGTTTTACAACATTTAATGAATGTTTTATCAGCATTCAATGAATATTCTAACAACATTTAATAAATGTTTTATCAGCAATCAATGAATGTTTTAACGGTATTCAATGAATTCCAATGACATTCACAGTTAATGAATATTTTAACGACATTTAATGAATATTCTAACTACATTTAATGAATATTCTAACAGCATTCAATGAATGTTTAACAGCATTTAATAAATGTTTTATCAGCATTCAGTGAATGTTTTATCAGTATTCAGTGAATGTTTTATCAGCATTCAATGAATGTTTTAACGAAATTCAATGAATATTCTAACAACATTTAATGAATATTCTAACGGTATTCAATAAATATGAATGTTTTAACAGTATTTAAAGAATGTTTCAACAACATTCAATGAATATTCTAACAAAATTTAATGAATGTTTTAACGACATTCAATGAATGTTTTAACGATATTCAATGAATATTCTAACAACATTTAATGAATATTTCTAACCATATTATTGTGTTGATGAGCCTTTACATTCAAATCTTTTCATTTGTATATATGGCTCGGGACAGGGGGCCCGGCAAGGAAGATGTATAGTCGTTCAGATTGGGCGGAAAACCAATGTCCTGTGTGCGCATTGGCGTGCATATAAAAGATCCCGAGCAAAATTTCCCTCATTGTGTATGCCCGTCTTCATTAGACCAGTCAGAGCAGAACCGTAGGATATTTAACGCCATTTCATTTATATATATTATAGATATGAGCGAAGTAGAATTACGAAATGGTAGTTATAATGTGGATGATGAAACCCAGAAAAAACATGAAGACATGTTTAAACATATACATACAGTTTTAGAGGAAACAAGTAAAATAGTTCCATTGTAAGTAGCATTTCTCTAGATTAGTACACTGTAACCCTGGTATCATTTAATCTTGTGTATTTAGCAAATAAACAACCCAATAGATTATTGATGTATAATGATTAATTTTTGAACAGTGGTCAGGAAATTAAATACTTGTAAATTGGACACTCATTAACAAAATTTCTCTGTCTTTTTCACTCTCATTAGGTCATTTTGGTTTGATCTGTGTAAGGGATTCGATGGCGGAATGGTTAGTACATGCACGCTACACCATACGATCTGTCATTAAGTCAACTGGCATGGTTTCGAATCCTTGGTTGTACGTGACAAAGAGTAGGGTCGCCTGTCCAACCTTGTGGGTTTTCTCCGGGTCCTCTGGTTTCCTCCCAATGCTAAAGACCCCTACGCGTAAGCGAATTATTGAAATAAAATTAAACCATATGTTAGTCCCGAAATGACCTAGTTTGTGTTGAGTGTATGTTAAACCCCATTTCTCTCTCTCTCTGTCTCTCTCTCTGTCTATCTGTCTTTCTGTCTGTCAAGCCTTAAACAGACATTATACAAGAGCTAAAAACTGCCTATTTCAGGTCCTTTTTTAGGCATGAAATGTTATCTAAACTATTAATTAGACATTAATTAATATGGAAAGACCATAATCAGATTGTTATCCATGCTTATTGTTTTATTATTAACCATTTATTTATTTTTCAGGACACCGGTGCTATTAATGCCAATATTAGAGAGATGTTATCCATATCATCTGATAGATGTTTACATACAGAGTTGTTACGTAACAAACTTATTACAAATAACACGATATATACCTACAATAAGACAACAGATTCTTGACCTTATTGTTAATAAAATTATGAAATTAGATGTAAGTATTAAAGATGGGTTCAAGGTCGGCTGTATATGCCGGTCATGATTGTTTGATAAAAAAAAATGACCGAAAAATCTCCTGGGACCCATGGCTATAATCAACCTCCGCCAGAATACTGCAGATACTCGACGGTATTGTTTGATGTGTGCGTGTTAGATCATATGGTCTGTTATTGAGTCAAGTGGCGTGTTTTTAATTCCACTCTTGTACATGACAGGGAGTGGGGTCACCTGTCCAACCGTGTGCTCGTTTGATCATATGGTCTGTCATCGAGTCAAGTGGCGTGTTTTTAATTCCACTCTTGTACGTGACAGGGTGTTGGGTCGCCTGTCCAACCGTGTGCATGTTAGATCGTATGGTCTGTCATCGAGTCAAGTGGCGTGATTTTAATTCCACTCTTGTACGTGACAGGGAGTGGGGTCGCCTTTTTCCTCCGGTCCTTTGGTTTCATCCCCCATGTAAACCCCCTACTCACATACAAATTATTGAAATAAGATTAAACCATATGTTAGTCCCGAAATGACCTACTTTGCTTATGTTTTCCAGGTTTTATCACCAAGAGAGAAATTAGGTGAACTAGAAGAAAGCGATGAAGAGGAAGAATTGTTTGAAATGGTAAAATTATTTACAACTTTTATGTTACATTTTGAGTGTGTATGGGTGTATGATAATGCTAGGAGCCACGGTGGCTAAGTCAGTGATTCAGGACGGAGGGCCTGACAAGGACAGCTGTCTAGTCGTCCAGATGGGATGGAAAAACGGATATAAGAGTAGGCCATAGTGCCGCTGTTCAGACAAAATTGCCTTCATAGCACACTCTATGGCGTATACCCGTTTTCATTAGCCTAGTCGGGGCAGAACAGTAGGATGTTAAACCCCATTTCATTTCATTTCATGATAGTGCTAAAGTTTGTGTCATTATATCTTGGTGAACTTTTTTTTATAAATTATATTTATTTGACTACTAGATGAATGAGATTGGGGAGTAGGCAAAGCCTTCTCTCTGGGGTTGCCTATGCACAAGTGAATTAATGAAATAAAATTGAACCATATGTTAGTCCCGAAATGACCTAGTTTGTGTCGGTTGGTTAAACTCTCTCTCTCTCTATCTCTCTCTCTGGAGTTGAGAATTTTTTTAGTCAAGATATTTAGTTTACATAGAAATTAGGTTTCTATAAATTTGTTTTTATGTTTACACAGGATGAGGGAGGAATGAATAGTAAAGAAGAAACGAAAGAAGGAAGAATAAAATATAAAGAAGCTGATTGTTTGGATGTTATGATGAAACTATTATTTAAATATATTTATTCTGTTTGTCATCCCAATGGTAAGTTGTCTGTCTTGTCGAGCCTTATCAATAGGAATACCTTCAAATTTTCAGTGTTGAAAAGTAGGAGTTTAAACCACATTTCATTTGAAGAGCCCCTGGGAAGAATGATCTAAATCACTTTTTCAAGGAACCCCAGTTAATGGCGCAATCTGGTAGCAAATTGTATAAGCTTTCTGTGGAACAATAAATTTCAGGTAAATACGATCGGGGTCACATTGAACCAAGGCCCTTTTGAAATGGTCTCCCGGACAAATACAAGTCCATCGTATATATTTGACCTTAATTTGGCTGAAAACTGGAAGTCAGTTGTTGTACTGGTAATTATGATTCGTATTAAACATCATTTTGAATTAAACCCACTCGTTGTTCTGTTCGCGTCAAGCATTCTCGTCCAAAAGTCTGTTTTGCCTTTTAGGCGAAAAGACAAAAATGTGACTTAGATCGTTCTTCCCCTGGACTCTTCAATTCATTTACCTTCAAATTAGTAATTGAACATTAGCACAATAACAGTTAGTCCGCTGGCTGAAGAGGGGGGGGGGAATCGCCACCCGAGCTGTGAATTTATCAGACCAAGTTTTTCTATACAAGTATTCTGCATAGATACTGAATCTGGGTGGTGATCAGGCATTTGATGGGGCTTGACTGTCAAAGTTGCTTGCTATAGGTTAAATAGAATGTTTTAATAATGTGTTTTTATTACAGGTGAATTTGATTTAGAACCAAGTAAGAAGTTTTATTGGGAATTAGTTTCATTATTTGAGAAGATTATTCTACCTACACATGAATCATGTCATGTTCAATTTATCATGTTTTATCTCGCCAGTTTTAAACCGGTGAGTTTCATATCTTTTACTTCAGTCCTTTTATGTAGGGTTGCCTATCCAACCTCATGTTTTTTCTCCGGTTTCCTCCCCACTGCTAAAGATCCCTACGCCGAGACGTAAAATCCTGTTGAAACGTCTCTGTATAATAAGCCATAGTAATTGTTATTCCATTAAAAGTGTGTTATTTGATTGTAATAGACCGGCAGCCACAAGTTCTTCCAATCTGATTAAAATTCAAATCTATATTTCGTTTCGTTTTTTTATACTTTCGATGGTCTTTATTACATGAAGATCTGACCGGTCGTACTGGAATATTGGGTCAGAGGTCATACGAGTAGCCTTTTACCCTATGATGTCAGACATTTGATAAAGCAATCGGTGTTTATGTTTCTAGTGGGTTACCCACAGTTTCCTGCACCTCTCGCTAAAAACTTGCCATAACAGACAGTTTCATTGTCTAATCCCTCACATCAACCAGAACCCCAGTAATATAACAACTCTTCCAGATTCTAGTGTAGTAAAGACAAGTAAAACAAAATTGTGAACTATAAAAACGAAACGAAATAGGATCTGTCTTTTAATCAGATTGTTGAATTTGTTACAGAACCTGCTTGCGAAATAAAATATTGTGCAAACTGAGTTTCTAATAGGATTATCAGTCTCAACATACAAAATGTCGTAATTCGGAATATTCAGAATACAGATTACTCAAAACTTTTATGGTTGAAGTAATAAGAAAATAAATCGGGACATGAAAATGATGACGGATTTTACAGAATGCCGTAGTATTCTGATGTCGGAAGTGACAGAGTCCACTGTATATATATATATATAACCATGGTATATGTTGTTTATATTGTAGATACTAGCGGATGGGTTATTAGATTATTTATGGAAGTTTGTACGGAATCCCAATTCACCAATAATATTTCGACAAGCATCAGTTAGTTATATGGCTAGTTTATTAGCTAGAGCTACCTTTATACCTATACAGTAAGTTATATAACATTCCATCTCTCGATGTCACAATTTTTATCCGATTTGGATGAAAATTTAAATTTATGTTTATAACCCAAAGTTCTTGGTTCCTTTCGATATTTGCACATATCGGACCATAAATTCCTGGATTATGACCCATGATTGTACAAAAAATCACATTATTATTTTAGTTCATTCTCTGTCCATCTCTTGCAAAATGTGGGCCTATCTTGCATGGCAACAGCTTGTTTCACCATTCCATTTCAATACAGCAAGTTATCCAAAGATGACGTCTGTTTTCAATTCACCCAAAATCTCATAGTTTTGATTTTTGCCTCATGTAAAGAACTTCATTTTGATAATAAAAAGCATACCATTTATTGGGAGCCACGGGGGCTAAGTGGGTGAGGCATTGGCTCGCTAACCTGGAGGTTCCTTATTCGATCCCTGCATTGGACCGAGAAAGTTCATCCAGATTTTCCGGCGTGGTTTCCCCTTGTCAGTGGTACAGAACCGAGGACCTGACAAGGGACATTGTATAGTCGTTCAGATGGGACGATAAACTGAGGTCACGTGCACACATTAACGTGCACGTAAAAGATCCCTTGGCATTTGGAATTCAGTATAAGAGTAGGCTGTAGTGCCGCTGTCCGGGCAAAATTCCCCTTATAACACACTGTATGACGCCCGACTTCATTAGCCTGGTCAGGAGCAGAACAATTTCATTTCATACCATTTATTGACTAATTTCTATTTAAATTTTTTCTGCTTCAGCACTGTTAAGATATCTTTAGATTTGATGGTTGCTTGGTTACATGATTACCTTGACAACCTATCAGATGGTAAACAACCAGATCATTTATTACATGGAACATTCTACGCTGTCAGTCAAGCCGTATTCTATGTCTTCTGTTTTAGAAATACAGAAATATTTGAAACCTCAAAAGGTGAGCAAAAATACAAGGGCAGATTATTTATCAAAAAAACGGCGCAAGAAATATAAACTATTCTTTTCTATTTCTCCCTGCTTTAGAACAATAAACCCTAATTGTGTAGATTTTTGCGAAGCAGTGGTATTGAGCATTTTCAGTTCATTAAACACTTCCAGATTGGTCATTTGGTCCACTGGTAGTCTAATCAAAATAATTGATACAGCCTCTGTATTCGTCACCCAAATGCAGACTTATTAACCAAGGTGTCTCATGTTTGCTTCTGGTCATGTTGGAGAAAGTTCCCTGGGATTTTTGCAGCCAGGTTTTCCCTTGCCAGTGAAGAAAGATGGAGGAGCTTGGCTAGGTAAAGTGTCTAGTTGTTCTAATGATATGGAAAAATGAGGTCCCTTGACATTGAAAAAAAGAGTAGGGTTTATGCTTGTCTGGGCAAAATTTCCCTCATAGCATATCTACTGTGCTGGGGCAAGACTTTTTTGCCCGCCCCCCTTCTTTCAAACACTTAGTCATATCAAGATGATTCATTTGCACTATATATGTTCTGAGGAATCAGATATCTTTCAAGGGTTAGTGACATGGTATTAGAAAGCGATGGCACCAAAGATTCTTATGGGCCCTGGGGCAGCGCACCGGCTGCATCCCCCTCTCATGAGGCCTGCTGCATAGTATATGCCTGTCTTCATTATCATGACTAGCCTAGGAGGTCACGTGTTTGATCCCTGCATTAGCCGAGAAAGTTCATCACAATTTTCCGACCTGGTTTCCCCAAGGACAGCTGTCTAGTCATTTGGATGAGACGAAAAACCAAGGTCCCATGTATACATTGGTGTGCACATAAAAGATCCCTTGGCAATTGGAATTCGATATTAGAGTAGGCCATAGTGCAGCTGCCTGAGCAAAGTTTCCCTCATAGCACACTGTATAGTGTATGTCTGTCTTCATTAGCCAAGTCGGAGCAGTACAGTAGGACGTTAAAACCCATTTCATTTCATTATTATTAGCCCGGTTGTTGCTGAATATATGTAGTTTTACAATGATTGTGCTGATAAACTGGAGGTTTTTTTTAGGTTATAAATGGGCAGAGGCTTTAAATTTCCAGAGAATTGTAACAAGTCGATTAAATCCATTACGTTATTGTTTATCTATAGTTGTTACAACTTTCTCATCATATACTAGGTAAGTATTCTCATAGTACCTCGGGGGGAGGGGTGGGGCTTTTTAATCATATACCAGAGAGAGAGGAGAGAGAAATGGGGTTTAATGTCCGCTCGACACAAACTAGGTCATTTTGGGACTAACATATGGTTCAATTTTACTTGCATAATTCGCTTGGGCGTAGGGGCCTTTAGTAGTGGGAGGAAACAGAAGGGCCCAGAGAAAACCCACGAGGTTGGACAGGCGACCCTACTCCTTGTCACTTACAACCGGGGAATTGAAACCATGCCAGTTGACTCAATGTCAGACTTTGATGCAGCGCGCACATGCTAACCATTCAGTCATCCAACATCCAACTCCCCTAATCATATACAAGGTAAGTATTCCAAAGTACTTTGGGGGGAGGGGGGGCTTTTAATCTTACACAAGGTAGGTATTCTCATAGTACCTCGGGGGGAGGGAGGGGCACTTTAGATTGTAAGGTCTGTCATTGTGTCAAGATGTTGATGTTAGTCCCAAAATAACAAGATTATTTTATGCAAAGCAACCAAGATAACTGAAACTGGGGAATGATCCAATCTGATTGAAACACAGATCCTATTTCGTTTTGCTTTTTATGGTTCAAAATTTCGTTTTTTACTGCACTTGGATCTGAAAGAGTTGTAACATAACAGGCTTTCTGGTCGATGTGACGGATAAGTCAATGAAGCGGTCTGTTACACGGCGAGTTCTTGGGGTGCTATGCACACAACTGTGGGCAAACCACTAGAAATGTCAATGCTGATTGATTAATCAATGTCTGACATCATAGGGTGAAATGCCACTCATATGACCCCTGACACGACCTCCCACTAAAACTGGTCAGATCTTCATGTAGAAGAGGCCATCAAAACTATAAAAAAAAACAACTAAATATAGATATGTATTTTAATCAGATTGGGAATGATCATACACATACTAAAATTTAAGTCCAGCAAAATTTATCCAATTTGCTGGACCTGTGTAGGATTTAATAAAAATTTTATGGGTTCTGTTCTTTTTGGGTCACCCTGTATTATGTTCAATTGCTAAATGCCATTCAATGATTATGATAAAGAACATATTTTATTTATAGACGTTATCAGTTAGCTTTCTGTGATACAGTTATAGAGAGGAATAATCGCAGTATTATACCTGTTGTTAATAGTACAACCGGTCAAACAGAAGATGACTTCTCACTTAAATTAGCATCATTCTTTCCATTTGATCCGTACTTATTATCCAGGTAAGATAGTATACTGTTGTTTGACAGTGGGCCTGACAAGGACAGCTGTCTAGTCATTCGGATGGGACAAAAAAAGCGAGGTCCCATGTACACATCGGCGGGCACGTACAAGATCCCTTGACAGTTGGAATTCGATATAAGAGTAGGCCGTAGTGTATGGCGTATGCCCGTCTTCATTAGCCCAGTTCGGAGCAGTTCTGTTGTTTGAACGATGTTTATTTGTAGAGTTTTTATTAACAATTACACGATGTATGATAAATATGACGAATTTAATGATTCAGTTAGAAGTATAAATTTCTCCCAAATGGCATCTTTTTCTACACATCACGTAACAGCTAGAGTTAAGTCCCTTTAAACATACGGTCCACTGTGATTACGAACACACTGTTTCAAACATCTGTACAGCTTATTCCCTTTACATTATCTAGTTTTTAATTATTATAGTGAGAACTGTCAGCTCTTTATGTAATCTCCCTTAATGGGCATATCCTGCCTGGCAGCCATTGGTTTACTACAGTGCACTCTGTCACAACCGACCTCTGATCAATCCGGCACTATGTTACATCCGACACCATTTTCATGTCTCGATTTATTTCCTTATTACTTCAGCCAAAAAATCTCTGAGTAATTCGACCTCTGTACGTTCCGGATTACGACATCAATTAGCCGTCCCGTCATACGATTTCCATTGAATCGACACCGTATAATCCGGTCTTCAATCGGTGGGTGTGAAGCAAACAATTATCCGTGAGATTATAAAACTGGATAGGTTTGAAGCCACAAAAGATTAACAAGCAATCACCAATCAATTGTCTGTGAGATTAAAACTCGCTACCGTGGGTCTTTGTTGATTACTTTGATAATTTTAATCTCTTGTACGACAGTTGTGACAAATACTCAAGAATATCCACAAATTTTCCCCCGAATTCACAGTCGTAAAAATATTCCTAGCACCTGTTGGAAACATTCGTTACGCATGCCGATTGAACCTGAATAACCTATAAGTTTGGTCACCCTACGGATCTCTTCGAACCGTGTCATGACGACCTGGGGATGCTCGATTCACAGTCCGGAACGTCCCGAATTGATAGAATTGACGGAATTCAGTCCTGTTACAGTTTTGTCAGTCCCGACGACGGAGGTGGCGTATTTATATATCCAGTTGACGCATGCGTTGTGGCCCGAAGTACCCATTTTCACTCGATTGTCATTATTTTTAGGATTGAGAGAATTCAATTCCGGAACGTTCAATCGAGTACGCCCATTATCAATGAACACGTGTTAGCAAAGACAAGAGTGCGATCAACTGAAGACGGCGAAGAAGATAAATTAACGACAGACTTGACCTATTCAAAATGCCTACGCATGTTAAATGAAATAAAAATTAATGTAATAAAATTTTGAATGTACAGAAAGGTTTATCATTTTTAAAGGGAATAACATTCTGGTGATTCCAAGTTCTATGTTCGAAGCTACATTATAATAATACTTCCGGTTTTCGAAGTTACAATATTTCCGGTTTTGAGAAAACTGGGTATTCCGACACTCTGCGTAATCCGACATATTGTAACGATCGCGTACGATGTCAGATGTGTCAGAGTGCACTGTATTATAGTAAGAACTGCCAGCTCTTTATCTCATCTTCCATAATCCATATTTAAATATTGGTTGACTGTTGATCTTTGTCCGATATACAGTTTTATGCAGATTTAGATTATATCTAATGTCATGAGTATTTTTAGATGATTTATAGAGAGTATCACAGCACTTATATTATTTGATGTTTTTAGATGATTAATAGAGAGTATCACAGTATTAATATTATTTGATGTTTTTAGATGATTTATAGAGAGTATCACAGCACTAATATTATTTGATGTTTTTAGATGATTTATAGAGAGTAATACAGATTATTTTTTAAATGATTTATAGAAAGTAACACAGCATTAATATTATTTGATGTTTTTAGATGATTTATAGAGAGTAACACACCACTAATATTATTTGATGTTTTTTTTTAGATCTAGTAAATATATATGTGATATATATAGAGTATATCAAGGAGAATTACAGGAAGTTGATAATGATACTGAGGTAGGATTTATTTTAATAAATTTAAAGTAGTTCCATATTTTTAGGCTCACATTAGCAAGTAGTATTATTGTCGTCGGCCTGTCTGAAACCCACAGTTGCTGATAGATGTTCTAGAGGCAAAATTTGTACACAGTGTTTATGTTCAGGAGACGAAGAACTTACTTGATAATCAATGATTTCCAATAATTAAGAATATATTGATCCTTGATCAATTTGAAAAAAACTTGGGACGTTATAGAGGCAAAATTTGTGCACAATGTTTATGTTCACTTGATAATCAAAGATTTCCAATATTTTAGGATATATTGGCCCTTGCACAATTTGAAAAATACTTTGGACACCCTATAGGCCAATGTTATTGTCTGATTGATTTTCAGTTTTTACATCTTGTTTATGTTAATGAAACGAAGAAGCTTATTGATTATTACTGTGAGAATAATGGCGTTGACAGGCACAGGGTAATCATAATCACCTGTGGTAGTTGGTTGAGTAGGGTCACCTGTAAGAGTTGATTGAGTAGGGCCACCTGGGAAGAGTTGGTTGAGTAGGGTCACCTGTGATGGTTGAGTAGGGTCATCTGTGATAGTTGAGTAATGTCACCAGTGATAGCTGAGTAGGGTCACCTGTGAATTTTCTTCAGGTTTCCTGGCACTGGTAATTAAAGAGCTTCGCACGATAGAAATAAGGGTAGCTATATGTTAGTCCCAAAATAACCTATTTGAGTTGATGTTAAATTCCATTTCCCCTGTAAATCCCCAAAAATATATTTTTTCTGTTAATTTGCAGGATGAAGATGATTTTTTACCGGATGATCAACAACCAGTCGATATGGTGATTACCCCGTCAAGTTTCACACTCAGCAAACATATGTTATCAGAAGATTTGATGAAATATGCAACATCACCTGGTTTTAAAACAAACTGAAAAAAAAACACCTGAGATATATATATATATATATATATATACCTTGTGTGACAAGGAGTAAGGTCACCTGTCCAACCTTGTGGGTTTTCTCCGGGTGCTCCGGTTTGCTCCCACTGCTAAAGACCCGTACTCAGTAAACATATGTTGTCATAAGATTTGAAGAAATACGCAACGTCACCTGGTTTTAAAACAAACTGAATAAAACACCTGATAAATATAGTGTCACCTGTCTAACCTCATGGGTTTTCTCCGGGTCCTCCGGTTTTCTCCCACTGCTAAAGACCCCTACTCAGTAAACATATGTTATCAGAAGATCTGATGAAATACGCAAACTGAAAAAAACCACCTGATATATATATATACCTGTGTGATAAATGTATATACCTGTTGATATTTGAATCAGGGAGGGTTTCTCTCTCTCTCTCTCTCTATTTGAATCAGGGACCTCCCCTGTAGAAGGGGCATACACTATTAAATTAACCAGAAGAGTCATCTACTTACTCATACTAAACTTACGCTGTCTGTCTACAGTTAGCTTGGCTTGAGAAAAGACACTAAGCTAGTTGGCCGACATGTTAATTTCTAAATCAATGATTTAGTGGAAAACACTAAGTATATTTGAGAAATATTTATTCTTCTCACATTTAATAAAATTGAAAAGATTTAATTAGTCTTTATGAGTATGAAAGACAGTAGAACCGTATTGCAAAATAATATACTAATTTTTTGAAAATGGCAGTAGATAGTTCTCTGAGTGCAGAATGCTACTTACTAATTGCTAGTAGGTTTATAGAACATAACCCAGCTTCCAACACTCACAGACAATATAATATATTTATAAAATACTTATACAACTTGATACAGTGATAGTCCCGAAATGACCTAGTTTGTGTCGAGTGGAGGTTAAACCACATTTCTCTCTCTGAAACAGTGACTTCTTCATTTTATAGTAAGTGCAGGGAGATCACACCACACACAATTATACATGACAAACCTACGGACAGGACACAATATACCACAAACACCTCAAATAACAATTGAACATATCAGATGAAGTGAATGGAGCATAGAGGTTTTTTGAGAGATTTTTTTTTTTCGAATTGGCTGTGATTGTTAATAATCAGAAAGAAATTTAGAGTTACTGGCCCTGTCATCAAAATATTGTAAATGCTCTACAGGTCCTCTCTCCTCTCACATATAGTATTCTCTCTCTCTCTTTCACACACATATTGTCTCTCTCTCTCTCTCTCTCTCTTTCTCACACTCTCTCTCACAGACACATATAGTATTCAATAATCTGCATTTTAGGCAGGATAAAACTTTCCTATTGTTTATCACAGACCTCATTTACAGACAAACTGGTCCAAAAGTCAATATTTATATATGAATATCATTTCCAAATTAAAGATGCATTATATAAGATTTAGATAAAGAGATAGCCGTTCTTATTATAATAGTTTAAAAAATCTTCTCATTATAATACTTTAAAAATAGATAATAAAAAATGAATATATTGAAAATTTTAATCAAATTACTGGTACTTCATTCTGAGCAAAGTTATGACAATGATAATATACAGTCTCCATTATCAATATTTAAATTAAATGGTGACTGTATTTCAATCCGTTGAAAATCAGAGCCATCCGACGGTCCAGAAAGTTGATTATGGACTGGCTTTTCATGTGAATAAATGTAGCGTTGCCTGTCCAACCTCGTGGGTTTTCTCCGGGTCCTCTGGTTTCCTCACACTGCTAAAGACCCCTACGCACAAGTGAACTATTGAAATAAAATTAAACCATATGTTAGTCCCAAAATGACCTAGTCTGTGTCGAGTGGATGTTAAACCCCATTTCTCTCTCTAGATATTATGGATAAAGATATTTTCTATGGGACCAGTTTAATAGTTATAATACAATAAATGTTTATATTATAATGAATTATAGATTGTTTATTATGTTATTTTATATATGTGAGCATGTCAACCGGATTAAAATACACATCTATATTTCATTTCGTTTCTTTATACTTTCTCCCCGGGTGTACGTGGCAAGGAGTAGGGTCGCCTGTCCAACCTCGTGGGTTTTCTCCGGTTTCCTCCCACTGCTAAAGACCCCTACGCGCAAGCGAATTATGTAAATAAAATTAAACCATATGTTAGTCCCGAAATGACCTAGTTTGTGTCGAGTAGACGTTAAACCCCATTTCTCTCTCTCTCTCTTTATACTTTCAAGCGGGGGCGAATGGTCATTGATTCAACTGGCGTGGTTTCGAATCCCCTGTAGTACGTGACAAGGAGTAGGGTCGCCTGTCCAACCTTGTAGGTTTTCTCAGGGTCCTCCTGTTTCCTCCCACTGCTATGGGCAAGCAAATTATTGAAATAAAAAATTAAATCCATATGTTAGTCCTGAAATGACCTAGTTTGTGTCGAGTGGATGTTAAACCCCATTTCTCTCTCTCTCTTTTTATACTTTTGTTGGTCTACACTACAAAAAAAAATCTGACCAGTAGTACTGGAAGGACGCGTCAGGGGCCGTACGAGCGGCTTTTTGCCCTAGTGTAGTAAAGGCATTTAAAACAAAATTTTAAAAAATAAAACGAAATAAGATCTGTGTTTTAATCAGATTGTGATTATGAATTTAGTAATGTCAGTCAGTGGTGATATATATTATTTTTATAAGGAAAATAAATTCTGTGTTCATGATGGTTTGTAAAGTTTACGATGGTTATGCAGCTCAGTTGAAGTGATAAAAAAAATAAAAAAATTGTAAAATGAATGTATTTAAAAAATTTCTATTGTAATGTATATAACTATTATATGTTGTTTTTTTTGTGAATATTGTAATTAGCCAAAATTTGAAGTGAACATAAAATAACATTTTTTGTTAACTCCAGGTGTTATCTTTTGAAACCACAATTTGTCACATAATTCCCATTTTACTTCTCTAAAACTCTGATCTGATTAAAACACAGATCCTATTTCGTTTCGTTTTTTATTATTCAAAATTTTGTTTTACTTGTGTTTACTACACTAGGATCTGGAAGAGTTGTTATATAAAATGCGTTCTTGTTAATGTGAGGGATTAGCCAATGAAGCGGTCTGTTGCAGCGAGTTTTGGGCGTGTGATGCACGGAACTGTGGGTATCCTACTAGAAACATCAACGCAGATTGGTTAATCAAATGTCTGAAATCATAGGGTCAAAAGCCGCTCGTATGACCCCCCTGAAACAACCTACCACTACAACTGGTCAGATCTTCATGCCGTAGATGCAATCAAACGTATAAAAAAAAAAAAATGAAACGAAATATAGATCTGGGCCCTGTTTCTCGAAATCTTAACTAAAGCTAAAATCCAAATTTTAGTAGATACTTCAATTTTAATTGGCTAAGCACTAAAATCAATCTAATATTATCCAATCAAATTACTAAAATTTGGATTTTATCGTGAAACAGGTCCCAGTATTTTAATGAGATTGTTAAACCCCTGATTGTCAAGTTGCTTATTTTGTTGATTATAAGATTTAATTGTTATTTTATTTATGTACAGTAACTCAGTATGTCTATATTTGTATCGTTAATATCTTAAAGGGGGAAGATCAACGATTACAAGAGGATTTCCATAGATTTTAAATATGTATATTTAGAAATAATCACCCCTAAAACACAAACAAAAAGTTTCTGTAAGCTATAAAAATACTTTTGGTCAAAAGACGACACAATGACAATGGTGAGCCAATTACATCACTTCCGGTTTGGATTGAAATTAAATTTTAACCGACAAAAACTTTTTTGTTCGTGTTACAGGGGTGGTTATTTCTAAATATATATAAAATTTATGGAAACCATGTTGAAAATTGTTGGTCTTCCCTGTTGAACTAATGTCATTTAAATATGGTAATAAATTAACAGGTGTAAATAATTGAACTGTTTCACTTATCTTTAAAAAAAAAAAAACAACAACACACAATTTATATGGAAAAACAATCACTGGTTTGTACACATATAGCATGATAACGACAAGAGAACAATTGTCGAAACGTCGTGCTATATGTGTATAAACCAGTGATTGTATTCCATATAAATTGTGTTGTGTTTTTAATGTGCTCAATCACTAAATGACACTCAAATTGATGTAGGTTAATGACACTAAGTTGTGCTGGTTTCAGTAGCGGATCTAGAAGTTGAGATCCAACCTCGTGGGTTTTTTCCAGTTTCCTCCACTGCTAAAGACCCCTACACGCAAGCGATTTGTTGAAATAAAATTGATCATGAGTTAGTCCCAAAATGACCTAGTTTTTGTCAAGTGGATTTTAAACTCTCTCTCTCTCTCAGTTGAGAATAGAGTTGGGGGCGGTTAGAAATCTAGGGTTCCATCCACAATCTCGCCCCACAATAAATGTCAATAAAAGACTGGCTATAATATGAGAAAATGTTGAAAAATTGAGTCAATAACCTGGCATTTGAGGTCATTGCTGGGAGCAAATTTTTGTGGGGGGTGGGGGTCCAGAAATTTGAGTCAATGGGTCAGAATCTCGAGATCAGCATGTCAATTCCACCTGTTTTATAAGAGTTGACACTTGAATTCGTGAAAACCCTGTGAATGGACCATGGGGTTAGTGGTATAGAATTGAACAATACGACTAAGGGATGCCAAGGATGGTTTGTGTCGTCAAAGACATTCCGATTTAAAGGAGCTAAGTCGCTAATATTTGGGATCTAGAAATTCACACAAATGGGTTGCAACGCATACAATAATGTAATATGAATGTATATAAATTGATTTACATTCAATCGTTTCTGTTTTTACTGCTATTTCTAATCAGTTAGGTTCGGCGACATACACCAGTATTCTCAATTGAATTTCAATCTCTAGCTTCTGGTTATTCCAGTCTACGCTGAAAGTATTTATTGGGCATGCTCTCCAGAAAAGAATATAGCGTCACCGTTGATTATGCATAGCCTCGTTTTTCAAGTCCCTTATTACAAATAGCGCTAAAATGCATTAAGGTACACGATTCGTGTACCAATTGTAAAATGTTTATTTTGTCTTAAATATTGGATATCAGAAGCCCATCTTTTCTCGGTAAGATCACAGCATCAATGTTGATTTAAACCGACAAATAAATCGTGTTTTCAATGTCGAAGATTTTGGATGATATTGAGTTAGAGACTTAGCTACTTTAAAGTCAATCAAATTTAAAAACAAAAATTATGATAAAACTGTTCCTTTAATTAATAAGAGTCCAATCTCCATTTCTTTCCTTTTTATAACGTCGAGGACCCTTGTGGGCAAAATGTGATTTCATTGGATCAGGATAATCTCGGAGATGTAAGAAAGCTGCACGAACAGTATCTTCAAATCCTGCAGGTTCTTGTTCAGGAGATGTCGAAAGATGCTGAAATATAAACAATATTTTATTTTGCAGTTGTGCGTATAACTCTTCATAAAGTTTATCAACATGTACACCAAGTGCTCAATCTCCGCGTGCAACCTTCGACGTCACGCATGCAGACACTCCTAATTGTTGGGCTCTCGATAAGGAAAACTCTTACATTCTTGTCCTGTATGCGCTCCATGAGTGTTTTTCAGGGAATCCAGTATTTTCAAGTAAGATTAGATATTACTACTTTCCATATATACCAAAATTTCCATACTTTTATTGGAAATAACCACCCAATAAATACTTTTTTGGGGGGAATGTATCTTTAAGTCAATGTTAAAAAAAAAACCTACTGAAGCATACAAGTAACCATGTAGCACAAATACTGTTTCTATCTAAGACTAATCTTTGGTTTTCTTTTGGTCAGGAACATCCTGAGTATCAACAATGTTCATTCATCATATCCTGAGATCTGGAGATTTATTTGACAAACTTTGATGTGACATTAAATGTATGGTTTTTGAGATTTACAGTAAAGACATTGGTTACCTTTCGAATGACGTGATTGGGTAGTTGGGCATATTGGTTAGCTCGTGGATGTGGATCATAAGAGAATGGTCCGATTGTCAAGTTTCTGTTCACATGATCATAAATATTTAACATCTGGAAAGAAAAGCATACAGAATATTAAATGAATGTTTCCTGAATCTCTTTTTTATATAAATATAGGCATGAAAAGCATGGAATTATCCCCATGCAGCAGCTAAACCTTGAACTTTGCAACTTGATTATCACAGGTAGACATTGTAGCTGGAAAGCGTGAGACTTGGTATTCGCCATGATCGAGGAATCTGATAGGCTTACAAGCTGGGCTTGTACCCAATCGAAATTAGTGCCAAAATATGCAGGGTATTACGGGATAAGATGTATGTAGTTAAAGCGAGATCAAGCCTTCAATTGAAGATGTTTGACCACCCTACCCCACACACAAGATGAGAACCTAGACTACCACAGTAGCAACTCTATTGTGTCATGACTTCTAGACTACCACAGTAGCAACTCTACAGTGTCATGACTTCTAGACTACCACAGTAGCAACTCTATTGTGTCATGACTTCTAGACTACCAAAGTAGCAACTCTATAATGTCATGACTTCTAGACTACCACAGTAGCAACTCTACAGTGTCATGACTTCTAGACTACCACAGTAGCAACTCTATAATATCATGACTTCTAGACTACCACAGTAGCAACTCTATTGTGTCATGACTTCTAGACTACCAAAGTAGCGATTCTATAATGTCATGACTTCTAGACTACCACAGTAGCAACTCTTTTGTGTCATGACTTCTAGACTACCAAAGTAGCAACTCTATAATGTCATGACTTCTAGACTACCACAGTAGCAACTCTATAAATGTCATGACTTCTAGACTACCACAGTAGCAACTCTATAGTGTCATGACTTCTGGACTACCACATAATCTACATTATTGCACAGCAACTAAATAAATGGAATGGGGTTTAACATCCTACTTTTCTGCACCTACTGGGCTAATAAGAAAGAAATGGGGTTTAGCATCCGCTTGCGTCAGGGTCTTTAGATGTGTTAGGATACAGGAGGACCCGGAGAGGACCCACAAGATTGGACAGGTGACCCTACTCCCTTTCACATACAAGCGGGGAATCGAACCATGCCAATGACAGATCTTGTGATTTTATGCACAAATGTTAAACCATTCGGCCATCCAACTCTCCTACTGGGGTAATGAAGTCCTGAAAACCCTCCTACTGGGGTAATGAAGTCCTGAAAACCCTCCTACTGGGGTAATGAAGTCCTGAAAACCCTCCTACTGGGGTAATGAAGTCCTGAAAACCCTCCTACTGGGGTTGACAAAGAATTAAGTCAGTCAATCAAGGCAGATTAAGTTAAGTAGTTAATCAAGGTAGGTGTATAGATGGTATAACATGATAAATACATGTACATTGATCACTTAATTACCTAATCAATTCAGCCTATTATCAACGATAATCGGGTTGAGTGGTAGTTATACACTCAGTACACTATATTAATTTTGGAATTTTGAATATTATTCACCATGTCTGATTGGGCATATTCCTGGTGGGACAATTAAGGGTGTTTGGAAAATAGTGTCTGACATGTCCGGAATATACAGGCGAAATTACATCACTGATATATACCTGTTCTCCCCCAGTAAAATGTCGAGCTGATCTGAGTGGTTGATCTGGTCCTTTATCTGTGAATTTAGCTTTAAATATTTCACCAGTTTTAATGTTTATAGCTGTGAAGAAAACAAACATCAGTGAAAATTTCACCAGTTCATAGCTGAAGAAATAAACTGAGATAATAAGTAGCCAAAAGAATAAAAGGGGGTCCTCGATTGTCATGATTGATTAAGATATTTTTTTATGAAATGAAATGAAATGAAATGAAATGGGGTTTAACGTCCTACTGTTCTGCTCCTATACTGGGCTAATGAAGATGGGCATACGCCATACAGTGTGCTATGAGGGAAAGTTTGCCCGGGCAGCGGCACTATCGCCTACTCTTATATCGAATTCCAACTGCCAGGGGATCTTTTACGTGCATTCCAATATACACACGGGACCTCGGTTTTTCGTTTCATCCGAAGGACTAGACAGCTGTCATTGTCTGGCCCTCTGTCCTGCATCACTGACAAGGGGGAACCACGCCGGAAAATCTGGATGAACTTTCTCTGCCAATGCAGGGATCGAACACCCGACCTCCAGGCTAGCGAGCCAGCGTCTTACCCACTTAGCCACCGGGATCCCCTATTTTTTTATGCCGTCGGAACAGGCGTTGTACTCCGAAAATCTCCATTTCACTCCATTGACACTATTTTTGGAATTGAGAGAATTTAATTCCGGAACGTTCAATCGAGTATCCCCAATATGTATCAAGAAAAAAAAATAACATTGTAAACCTTTTGTACCTGGATGGACCAAAACCATCCCAAATCAAACACTGACTAACTGATCTTTCAACATAAAGATAAAGATATATTACACCTAGTCTTACCTATACCGGAAGGGAGGGGGGGGGGGATCTAATGGTTTAATGCGTTCACATGAAACCATAAGGTTTGTCAGTGTCTTTGAGTAAAGTGGCGTGGTTTTGACTCCCATTTACATGTGTCAAGGACTAGGGTAGCCTGTTCAATCTTATGAATTTTCTCTGGGTCCTTCTGTTGCTTCCCACTGCTAAAGACCACTTTGCGAAATAAAAAACTGAATCATATGTTAGTCTTGAAAAGACCTAGTTTGTGTCTCCATTTCTCTCTCTCTCTATCTTACCTATGCCATATATAATAGGAAAAGGAACACCATTCTTCATTGTTGTATTTAAATCTAAAAATAAACAAGAGGCTCATGGGCCTTAATTACATATCAGGGTATATTTATGGGCATGTAACTATATTTAGAAAATGAATGCCAACACATTAAAATCTTTGAATCAGTTAAAGAGTATTATGGGCTGTATAAAACACCGCCCTTACCAAGGGCTTAATCTATTTGTTAAGGCCAGTTCAATTTTTGTCAAGGTCGCCTAGATGTAAATAAGGTTAGGGCATGTGATTGTTGGCGAGATTGTAGATTAGGGTTAAGGTAAGCATTGGGGCTAGGTCCAGGGTTAGGATTAGCACTAGCCCTGTTTACATCTCATGACCTATGACGAAAAATTGAGCTGGCCTTATCATTTAGCACTAACTCTTACCAAGGGCAAAATCATTCAATAAATACAAGTTATTAAAGATACATTATGTAAGATTTAGATAAGGAGCTGGTAGTTCTTGTTATAATACTATGTAGTTCAAAAATAGATAATGAAAAATGAATATATTGAAAATTTCATTCAAATTACTTTATTCTCTAATTTATTATCTGTTTAATCATTAAACTCTTAAGTGGCTGTGGTGTTCTAATCTACTCATAATTGGAACCATCCGATGGCCCAGAGAGTTGAGTATGGGCTGGTCATGTTAATATATGGTTAAATAATAATTTATATAACATTTGAAGCAGGTGACTGTTCTGAACAGGTGGCCTGTACAGCAGGTTTAACTGTATTGTTATGACTTACCTGTTATACATGCTGTCATGAGGTGAATATCTTCTGGTATAATACGTAAACAATCTGCAAATACGAATAATATAGTCCAATATTCATCTTTTTCTAGTCAGTTTTCAGGAAAACAATTTCACATTTTATCTTTAGCTAGCAATTTGGTCACACGACCTAGTTTATCCACCAATTACTGAATATTTAAAATAAAATGAAATGAAATGGGATTTAACGTCCTACTATTCTGCTCCGACTGGGCATACGTCATACAGTGTACTATGAGGGAAATTTTGTCCCGACAAAGGTGTACAACCTACTTTTATATCGAATATCAACTGCCAAGGGAACACAGGACTTCGGTTTTTCGTCCCATCCGAATGACTAGAGGGATGTCCTTTCAGGGCCCACCATAAAAGTTTAAAGATGGATGTATTGTCTGGTTATTGGTATAATATCTATATTTAAAATACAGATGTGATGTCATCCTTTAATGTTGGTGTAAAGGTAATGTGCCAGACGTACATTATTGAAATACTGGACTCGTGTGACGATTTCAATGAAATGCACATGCGGGATAACGTCTGTATTTTAAGTTGTTTAATGGTCTTGAGCAAAACATTATATAATATATTGAAATACGGAATCCATATATTACTTAATGTACAATGTACAATCATGTGGTAATATAAAATCATGTACAATCATGTGGTAATATACAGAAGAACAAATATTTTTAATCGGTTAAGCCAGCGGACAGCATCTGGTAGAAATTGGTAAGGGCCCAGTGGGAATATCAATAAAGCACTGCCTAGGGAATATACAAGAGTAGTGAGTTGTCACAACAGCCAAGTCCAATTCCAGTCTCCATGATCGTAAGTCAGTTCTTGGATTGGAGATGCAGGACTTGTGTTCGCATCTATTATATTTTGCATATACTTAATATTTCAAAAAGATAAAACTAGGGGATATGTTATCCCTATTTTTGTATATAACATATTGTAGCTACTTAATATTTGTAAAGATAAAACTAGGGGATATGTTATCCCTATTATTGTATATAGCATATTGTAGCTACTTAATATTTCAAAAAGATAAAACTAGAAGATATGTTATCCCTATTTTTGTATATAACATATTGTAGCTACTTAATATTTCTAAAGATAAAACTAGGGGATATGTTATCCCTATTATTGTATATAACATATTGTAGTTACTTAATATTTCTAAAGATAAAACTAGGGGATATGTTATCACTATTATTGTATATAACATATTGTAGTTACTTAATATTTCTAAAGATAAAACTAGGGGATATGTTATTCCTATTTTTGTATAAAACTAGGGGATATGTTATTCCTATTTTTGTATAAAACTAGAAGATATGTTATCCCTATTTTGGTATAAAACTAGGGGATATATTATCACTATTTTTGTATATAACACATTGTACCTACTCAATATTTCTAAAGATAACGCTGCTGACAATTTACGATCATCTTTAAAACCACCAGCTAGATGAATTTCTAATCTGAAACAATTTTACAAACATAGGTTGCCAGGCAATAAAACATGCACCCACCACTCGACAACTAGGTCATTATTTCAATAATTTGATTGCACGTAGGGGTATTTAGCAGTGGGAGGAAACCAGAGGACCTGGGGAAAAACTCACAAAATGGACAGGCGATCCTACTCCTTGTCACATACAAGCGGAAATTGAAAACACGTCATTTGACTTAATGACAGACCTTATGATGCAATGTGCATGTGTTAACCATTCGGCCACCCAGCCTCCTCAAATGGCAAGAGTTTATATATGTGCACACTAACATGTACACATGACCTTGATTTTTCGACTAGACACTGTTCCTTGTAAGACCCTTTGTGTCCTGACAAGGGGGAAACCATGCACAAAAATCTAGGGGAGCTTCCTTGGTCAACACCGGGATCAATTTTATAGTTACATTTTGGAAGTTGATTATCGCCATGTTTGAAAATGGGGTTTTGAACATGTGTTGTTAGTTTAACAGCGAGTAAATTGACTGGTGAGACATTTCGGTCAATTGTTTTTACCAATGGGTCTTGACCAGCATATACGGCCAACCTTAAACCCATGGTCTAAGGTGCAGTGAAGTAAACGACTTTAAATTAAAACAGAACAATATACATGTACATGTTTATAGCTCTACCTTCCTTGTGAAGTGCCATGTGATAAATTCTGTACAAGATGGATCATATCTTTTAAACCCTGTGATGTACCACAACCATCAAAATGTCCAACACATGCACCTCCTGAACCTGATGAAGTAAAAATGGACACATATCAACTTAATAGTTGACAGACAAATTAGGCACTGAAACATTGCTTTACTCATGAATTTAGGGATATTTTGGATATGATTTTGTTCAAAATGAATTACATTTATTTTCTTGGTGATAGTGGTAATGCCTCTTTAAGCTTCTCTCTTGTGAGGATCCCAGACAAATGAAATGGGGTTTAACATCCTACTGTTCTGCTCCAACTGGGCTAATGAATACGGGCATATGGCATACAATGTGCTATGAGGGAAATTTTACCCGGACAGCGGCACTATGACATACTCTTATATCGAATTCCAACTGTCAAGGGATCTTTTATGTGCATGCCAATGTATACATGGGACCTCGGTTTTTCGTTCCATCCGAACGAATAGACAGCTGTCCTTGTCAGGCCCTTCGTCCTGCACCACTGACAAGGGGAATCTTCCTTGTGAGGATCCCAGACAAATGAAATGAAATGGGGTTTAACGTCCTACTGTTCTTCTCCAGTTGGGCTAAAAAAGACGGACATACACTATGAGGGAAATTTTGCACGGGCAGCGTGGGAGTGTTAATGTCTCTTTATTTAAGTTTCTTCCCTGTGAGGATCCCAGACAATCTCAACAGCTTTGACAATAACGTCAGTGGTATGTGAAGTGTGAAATTAAATGGGGTTTAACAACGTACTGTTCTTCTGCATCGACTAGGCTAATAAAGACGGCTGTGGACTGCACTATGGGGACAATTTTGCCCTGACAGCAGCACTACAGCCTACTCTTATTTCTAATTCCAACTGTCAAGGGTTCTTTTACATGCATGACAATGTATACACATGACCTTTGTTTTTTGTCTTATCCGAAAAACTATATTTTGTCCCTTGTCATACCCTCTGTCCTGCACCAATAGACAATAACCGATCATGCCAGAAAATCATGATGAACTTTATCGGCCACTACTGGGATCGAACACGGGACCTCCATGTTAGCGAGCCAATGTCTTACTCACTGAGCCACTGCGTCTCCGTGTGAAGTAGAATATTACCTGTATGTTTTATTATAACCAGGTGACAGGTTGTAGCATCTTCAGAACCTATAACTTGTATAACATCTGAAAATAGAACCAATTCTTCAATTCTTGTAATATATAGAGTCAAATTTTTGTAGTTTTTCTGGTATTAAAATTTACTGACAAATCAGTTTATCCAAAGTGCACCATCCCATTTTATACTTATACAAAGGGGAAACAGTTCAGAAAGAAGTCCATAAAAACTTTAGGCCTTAAACTAAAGTAAAATATACTTAAAGGATTATTTTAACAGATCAGATAGAAGTCCAAATTAAATCGTGGGATTAAAACTTTAGGCCTTAAACTGCAGTAAAATATACTTAATGGTTTATTTATTATCAATATCATTTTATTTAATACCATCGCTGGACGTTGTTCCTCCGAATTCTCTCTGACCAACATACAACAAGCCTTCAGGACCAACAACTCTTGTATCACCATTACATAAAACTTTAGCCGATTCCTAAAATAAAACATTGATGCTGAATATAATATGGTCCGTTGAATTGTTTGTATCGGTATATCTGGGAAGGCATAGATTAATCTGTCAATGATAGAGAGAGAGAGAGAGAGAGAGAGAGAGAGAGAGAGAGGGGGGTAACCTACACTTGACACAAACTAGGTCATTTCGGGACTAACATATGGTTTGATTTTATTTCAATAATTCGCTTGCCATGCCAGTTGACTCAATGACAGACTTTATGATACAGCGTGCACGCGTCAATCATTCGGCCATCCAACACTCCCTCAAGTGATAAGGTGATGTATTACTAAAGTCAGTATGATTAAAATATAGTCTTGGTTTTCCACTTTTGGATGAAATCATCAATGAGTGTTGAGCAGCAAATCGGATTCAAATCCAATGAAAATCCGACACATAAGATGACATCAAGTGTTGATTAAGGTCTTTTTGTGTTAATAAATGTCTAATTAATAATTTAGATAACATTTCAGGCTAAAAGAAAGACCTGCAATAGGCAGATTTAGCTCTTGCTTGCATAATGTATGTTTAATTAATCAGGTTAAAGTTGCAATTTCATATTTTTAAGTTATATTTTTAAAATTTATTAAAATAAAGCCTTAAAATAGATGGTATCTATAAACAGTACTACCTTGTTAAAGAATAATCCTATTAATCCTATAATTCACTATTGCAAGTTGAGAAATTGGCAAAAATATCATTTCAACTTCAAATTCAAACGTTTGAAGATAGCTATTCCATGGTGGGGAATAGGAAAAGAAGGGAGGTAATTGTGTTATTATTTCCGCTGTAAATTAGTTTTAAGTGTGAGAATGACACCTATGATCGTATAATAGTGAGTTGACAACCTATTGAGCAAAAGACATAGAAATAATTATGTTTTGACTTTCTTAGAAAATATGAAATTGTAACTTTAAGTAATTAGGTATCAAGACACAAAACCGGTACTATAAAATATCTCAAAATTAAACTCACCTCAAAATGTGACTGCTGTGATAAGAATTTAGAAATTGAGCTTGGAATCTTCTCTACCTTGACATCATTGATAAACAATGGCATGATGTATTTTCTTCACTTTATAGGTTTGTGAAATATTGTCAGTGAGTGACACTAGAATATAAATCCAACAAATTTCTTGTATAAAGCATGAATTATCGCAGATATAAAACAGTGGTATTATTAAACTTTTGATCCTCACAGTCTCTTAGTTGATTTGTCTATATATATCTTTCATGCTCAGACTTACTAAGTATTTACTCAAAATTGTTTGCCTTCTTTTAACTAAAATACAGCCATTTATGAAACGTTTGTTTTAATGTATCAAGTACCGTACATCAAAGTTTGGTGATTCTGGATCAAAGATATTTCTCAGAAAAAGTGATTGAAAGTTCAGTTAATTCTTAACTTAAGTCTGGGAATGCTTTGTGAACATGGGGCCATTTGAATATTTTGTTGACACGTGATATTTAATTGTGGTCGGAAACCGCCTGCTTAAATGAACACGACCCCCCAGCGATCGCCTCTTGGACGCTCCCTATACCGCCGGTTAATCTAGATCTACTACAGAAAACCGACAAGAAAAACAACCCCACTGCAGCAGTGCTTTCTCTCTAGAACACCTGGAAGACAACTGGCCGTCTGATGACTGGGACCATGTGTACACGGATGGCTCACGCAATCCTGAAAGGGGCACCAGCTCGTTTGGAATATATCTGCCAAACGGGGAACAGGGAATAAGCAGGAAACTGCCCAATAACTGTTCGGTGTACACTGCAGAACTTGTGGCCATTCGTGACGCTATATCATGGATTTCCCATCAAAAGACTAGTAAGTTCGTCATTCCAAGCGACTCTCTGAGCAGTCTGATTTCAATCCAAAATGACAACTCGGACTCAAGACCAGAAGTCATTTTGGAAATCAGGCAGCTGTACCAGAGGGTTTTAGAGAAGGTAAGCAAATTAGAACTTGTGTGGATTCCATCACATGTCAACATTAGAGGAAACGAGGAGGCAGATCGACTAGCCAATGAAGGTCTCAAGGACACAGCACCACTCCGCACCATAGACTACAGCACCACGGAAATCTACAGTATGGTCAAAAGACAGGTCAATTCAATCTGGGAATTAAATCTCGTTGAACTTGACACATACAGATTCCGGCTGGATGACAAGATATATACAAAGACAACACTCAATCACCCTAGAAGAGATATATGTAGACTTATATCGAAGCTAAGGGTGAAAGAGCGGCTGCGAGACTACAAACACCAAGTCATCATCTGTGAGTGCGGAGAAGAATGTACCACCAACCATGTCCTGGTAGACTGCGAGGTATACAAGGAGGAGAGAAGGGAACTAGTGAGAACAATGGAGACTAACAACATACCATTCAACACTAAGAATCTACTCTTCCCGAGACCAGTTCTGAAACTGCAAATCTTCGAACAAATCCACGCCCTAATGGACACAGTTGGACTAAGTAGAATAGTGAAGTAAGAGGGGGTCAAGGTTAGACGGGCCGGCATCTAAACACTAAACTACATAGGGGATTTATACCAAACTGGCAGGATAGTGGAGTAAGGGGGAGTCACGACCAGACGGACTCGGCATCTAAACACTATTCAGCCAAAAACAGACACCAAACCTACAGAGTGGGATAGTGGAGTAAGGGGAGGTCACAATAAGACGGGCTTGGCACCTAAACACAAACCCCACAAAGATGACATCTACCAAACTAGCAGGATAGTGGAGTAAGGGGGAGTTACGATCAGACGAACTCGGCACCTAAACACTATTCTGCAAATAAAACTGATACCAAGCCCAAAGAGTGGGATAGTGGAGTAAGGGGAGGCCACGATAAGACGGGCCTGGCACCTAAACACTAACCCCAAACGATGACATCTACCAATCCAGAAGCAGACGAAATCATCTACCAAGCGATATGTTTTATATTAAATAAAAGGAAGAACTTCCCACTAAACCAAATCCTTGGCCTATTGCCAAATGGAAAGATTGCAAAATCATATTCTAAAAAACAGGAATCAGCTTCGGCTCTCCTATGACTTGTCTGCGATATCACTTATGTGGAAGCAGATGTTAAACACCAAGAACTACTACTACTACCGCCTGCTTAAATAATAAGAGTTATGCCCCTTTATTTTCGGTAAAAATGTCTGACAAGAAAATTTTTGAAATCCCATCACTGGGGCCAGATATTTTAATAGTGTGTCATATTGTTGAACTGATAAGAGTACCAAGTCTTAAACTGGGTTAAAATAAACGATTATATAATATATACATGTAAATAAATGAAAGTAAATTGGTTTATTTAACATCATCAGGGTTAATGATGACTGTGTTATGATTAGTGCTGTGTATTACTACTGCAGTCACGATAATGTATTGCGATTCCTAACCCAGTCAATATTTACCAAGAAAACAAGAGGATATGTGAATAATTGATATTTTTAGTCCTGCCGATGTTTTATATCACGATATTGATGTGGATCAAAATAAGGATCAAAACAATTTAAGAGTGTTTGTATACCTATAGATAATGTGTGACATGGATAATAAGAGTGACCGGTTACCTATTGAAGCAACAAAAAAAAATCACAAAAAAAAATTGTGATACATGGATTCAGCTTCTCGCGATTCAATATGTAAATCATGAGAAGGTAAATCGCGATACACCGATTCAACGATATATCATGATAATATTGCCTGGAGAGCAACGTTTCCACCTACTGGTACTCTTTATTTAAGGGTTATTTTACATGCATTCAAAAGGAGAGAGAGAGAAATGGGGTTTAACATCCACTTGACACAAACTAGGTCATTTCGGGACTAACATATGGTTTTAACTTTATTTCAATAATTCGCTTGCGCGTAGGGGTCTTTAGCAGTGGGAGGAAACCGGAGGACCCAAAGAAAACCCACGAGGTTGGACAGGCGACCCTACTCCTTGTCACGTACAACCGGGGATTCGAAACCCCGCCAGTCAACTCAATGACAGACTTTATGATACAGTGCGCGCACGCTAACCATTTAGCCATCCAACTCCCCACATGCATTCAACGTGTATATATAGTACCTTGGTTTTGGTCCCATCCGAATGACTAGACGCTGTTCCTTGCCAGGTCATGCAGCTCCATCCTGCACAACTCATAAGGGGAAACCACTTGCTGGTCAACATTGGGACTGGACCTGGGACCTAACTATATGTATATAAAGCCTATATATACCACAATACCAGTCAGATTTGATATTTTTAGAACCAAATCATACATAGCTAACATTTGGCACCAATGATATTACTTATGAGCCAATTCTTAGCCCACATTATGTAAAACATTTGTTCCGGATTTTATGCATGTTTGGTGTTGTTAAAATGGCAAAATGTAAGAAAGGCCCCAGGCCTAATTTTCTACCCTTTTGAAATAAAGTGATTATTATTATTATTACATCACCATTATTCAAGGCAGTCAAAAAGGGACGTGGCTCATTTTTCCAGTCAGATTTTGCATCTTAATATCCAGATACTGCATGACAACATTTCAGAAATAGTTCTAAGGCAAATATTGTCCCCATTTGTGGGCATGGCAAATTGGGCAAAGTTTAAGTAGGTAGTCAGATTGGGGATTTGCCCCCATTGAAACCGGTCAGATTTGGTATTTTTTTTAACCTACTCATAAATAATTATCATTTGACACCAATTTCAATCATATTACTTATGAGGCAAATTTTGGCCTCTGTTGGCACTTTTTGGGGTAGTCAGAAACCGGTATGCGGGCTCACTTTTTCCGGTCAGATTTTTAAATTTTATACTCAGGTGTCAGTTGACACTATTTTAAAAGAAATCTGATCATGTTACTTATATGGTAAATTCTGTTCCTTTTGATCTGCCCCTCTCTGCCAAATGCCCCACCCAAACCTTGTAATTTTAAGACTGTGGTGTTTTCAAGTTGCCCTAACAATAACTGCCAATGAACATGGTAAAACTTTCTATTACTTATGACTATGTATGAGGAAGTGTTTTCGTCATTGGATCTTCTATTAGCACCAGTTACCAATAGCATCTGGCCGAAGGGAGCCACGGTGGCTAAATGGGTAAGACGCTGGCTCGTTAGGCTGGAGGCCGCGTGTTCGATTCTTGCATTGGCCGAGAAAGTTCATTTGGATTTTCCGGCATGGTTTCCCCTTGTCTGTGGAGCAGGACGGAGGGCCTGACAAGGACAGCTGTCTAGACGTTCGGATGGGACGAAAAAATGAGGTCCCGTGTATACATTGGCGTGCACGTAACAGATTCCCATGGCGGTTGGAATTTGATATAAGAGTAGGTCAGTGTATGGCGTATGCCCGTCTTCATTAGCCAAGTCAGAGTTGAAATGTAGGACGTTAAACCTCATTTCATTTCATCTGTCCGAAACCGCAGTCTCCAAATTTATTTTTAAAAATCCTTCCCGGTTGTACATATGACACATTCTGAACATCTGAGACACGCTACCTGCTGAGAAGTATCTCAGACACAGTCAATAGCCATGATATCCATATCACGTGATCTACTACTACGCATCACAGGTCATGACATTGACGTCAATGGGTCATGAGGTCAACAACTCATTACATTGTAAACAATAGGTTTATCTTCAGCATTGTGTCCTTTGCACCCATAAAGACTATATAATTCATACAGTCCCAACATGTTCTCTCTTCTTCCAATGATTTTTTACAAAAATAACATCTACAACTCATAGAATTGACGTTGTCTTCAATGACAGCGTCTGCGGATGGTTGTTCATAGAGGCTGCCATCTTGGCACTATTTTGTGCGTCAGTCGTGTCTATTTCAGATATACACAATCAATTCTGTTGATGTTTTTAGCGTTGGGATTGACTTAATAGTTAATTTATTTCAGTTCTAAAACAAATATTTTAAAGTAGCTAAGTCTCTAACTCAATATCATCCAAAATCTTCAACATTGAAAACACGATTTATTTGTCAAATTAAATCAACATTCATGTTGTGATCTTACTGGAAAAAGGGAGGCTTTTGATATCCAATATTTAAGACAAAATAAACATTTTACCAATGGTACACGAATCGTGTACCATAATGCGCTTCATCCCCAGTTGTATCAAGAGACTCGAAGCACGAGGCTAGACACATTGCACCAAATCAAACGGCATATGTAGACTGGAATAACCAGACGCTAGAAATTTGCACTCGCTTGAGACTGCTGGCTTATTTCGCCGAACATAACTGATTTGAAATTGGAGTAAAAACGGAAACCATTGAATGTAAATCAGTTTATATACATTCATATTACAGTATTATATGCGTTGCGACCCACTTTTGTCAATTTCTAGGTCCCAAATGTTAGCGATTTAGCTCCTTTAAACTTTAGAAAATAGCCAAATTCTGGCTGGGATTACTTAGCAAAATCGCCATTCACTGTATACATGCGAAAAAAAAGATAGCCACCAATTAATTTTCGTAGGTTAGTTACATACGCATATGACATTGACAAGGAGTAGTAGGGTCCCCTGTAACAACCTTGTGGGTTTTCTCTGGGTCCTCCGATTTCCTCCCACTGCTAAAGACCCCTACGTGTAAGCAAATTATTGAAATAAAATTAAACCATACGTTAGTCCCGAAATGACCTTGTTTGTGTCGAGTGGGCGTTAAACCCCATTTTTCTCTCTTTTAAAAATCTACTTTCACTTTCTGATAGACAAAGTTCTACTTTCACTTTCTTTTCTTTTCCAAAGGCTATATAATATGGTAAAAATACTTCCAAAGGCATTGTGAAACAGATCACAAACAATTTAAACAATCGGGCTTTGCCTTACAGAGCCTTGTAGCGAAAACATATTTTGAAATTAACACGAAAGACCGAAAAGACAGAAAAAAATAAAAAGTAATTATCTTTATTTACCCTCACAACAGCTTCCTTTACATGCGCATTGAAACGAAAACGCCTTGGCCAGGAAGTTGATATCCCCGATATTTGCACGTTCCACTTCCTCTTTTCTCGTTCGACTTCCATTTGGCTTCAACAAGAAGTAAGGAGCTCCCAAAATTTTCAAAGTATTTTACCATATTAGGCGAAACGATTAATAAAAATAAACTTGTAAAATCCACCGATTGTTTTCTTTCATATATGGCATTTACAATCAATAGAAATGTCCCCGTTTTGGGAAAAATACGACGATCAAAGACGAGTTGGCGGCGTGTTGACAAATTTTCCGCCATGTTGAAACACGTGTTGACAGAAAGAACAAATTATGGCTATGTTCCAATCGAGATCGAGCACCGGATCTCATGGTTAGGCAGTTCGCGGCTTACTAATCACCGTGGCATTTAAACTCAATATTTTACTCCTTATTGTAAAGCTTCTAAAAAAATAAAATATTTTATATAATCATCATGATTCGTGTTGAAATCATTTCTGTACGTTTAACTTTAGTTCAATAACCTCAACCAAATTGTTCATTTTACCGAAGTTGGTTTGGGTTTATATTAAATGGGGCACTGAAAGTGTCTGAAAATTTATTGAGCAAGGGGCACAGACGTTTCTTGATTAGTTGTGACAAATGAAATTTAAATTTAAGCAACTTTCATTGCAAAATGCATTAAAACTGCAAAATTTTCTCTAGCTCTGGGTCCTCGATAAATATGACATTTGCCCCTATACGACACCCCTACTAACAGGCGACCCCCCCCCCAATAACTGTCTGTGCTGTAATCCAATAAGGTGTGGTATATGTCACAAACTGTTGAACATGCTCACAAATTGACAGGGCTGTAATCCTATGGGATGAGTAATGTGACAAACTATTGAACACACCCACCAAACCACATTATTTACTGAGAGCCACTGTGGCTCGGTGAGTAAGATATTAGTTTGCTAACCTGGAGGTCCTGTGTTTGATCTCGAGTATTTACCCCTCGTCAGTTGTGCAGGTAGCAACTCCTATATGTGTTCACGTTGGTGTGCACAAAAAGAAATCCTGACACTTGGAATTCCAAATAGGAGTAGGCTGTAGCATTGCTGTCTGCGCAAAATTTCCTTCAAAGCATACTGCATTCCCGTCTTCATTACCCAAGGGGGTGTTGGGTGACCAAATGGTTTAACGTGTTCGCTTTAAATCATCTGTCATTGAGTCGGAAGCCATGATGTCTGCTGACAAGGAAAGTTGTCTAGTCGTTCGGATGGGACGAAAAACCGAGGTCCCGTGTACACATTGGCGTGTACGTAAAAGATCCCTTGGCAGTTGGAATTCGATATAAGAGTAGGCCGTAGTGCCGCTGTCCGGGCAAAATTTCCCTCATAGCACACTGTATGGCGTATGCCCGTCTTCATTAGCCCAGGTTAGGAGCAGAACAGTAGGACGTTGAACTCCATTTCATTTCATTTCAGTTCATTTCATTTCCATGATGTCTGAGTAAGACACTGGAGGTTACAACTTACAGTGTTGAACGAGAAAGTTCGTGATTTTCCCGCGTGGTTTCCCCATGCCCCAGTGGTGCGGAACGGAGTGCCTGACAAGAACAGCTGTCTAGTTTTTTGAATGGGACAAAAAAATGAGGTCCCGTGCACACATGGACATGCACATAAAAGATCCCTTGGCAGTTGGAATTTGATGTAAGAGTATGGCATATGCCTGTCTTCATTAGCCCAGTCGGAACAGAACAGTAGGATGTTGAATCACATTTCATTTCTGCCATTGAGTCAAGTGACGTTTTGATTATCCGTTTGTACGTGACAAAGAGTATGGTCGCCTGACTAATCTTATGGGTTTTCTCCAGCTGCTAAAGACACCCACTCGCAAGCGATTTAATGAAATAAAATTGAACCGTGTGTTGGTCCAAAAATTACCAAGTTTAGGTCGAGTGGACGTTAAACCCCATCCTTCTATCTCTTCTGATTAGCCCAGTCAGTGTAGGTGGATGTTAAAACCCCTTTTCCATTCCATTTTGTACATTTACATTAACCAAAAGGTCTCTTAAAAATTTGTCAAGTTGTTTATCTTTATGTATATTTTTGACATTTTTTTTTTTTCAGGTTGGTCGCCGTAACTCTTAGATCGACTCTACGATGTCCGGAGGTTTAGACGTATTAGCCCTCAAGGAGGAGGATGTATCCAAATTCCTTGTCTGCGGAACCCATTTAGGGGCTACAAATTGTAACCATCAAATGAAACAATATGTTTTCAAACGAAAACCAGATGGTAAGTTGACGAGGAGCAATAAAAAATACGAGATCCTGTGTTGAATTTTTCTTTTTAAATTATGAAATGTTTATTTAGTAGATCTGATTAAAATATAATGTAGAACTCTGAACTGACTTAAAACTTAATAACACGCGACACAATTATATCGAATACAAGTTACTTAAAGGGTTTATTTAGTAAATATGATTAGAATGTAATATAGAACTCTGAATTGACTTAAAACTTGAATGCAAGAATGTCTCATGTACACATAATTCATTATGCAAGAGCTAAATCTGCCTATTGCCGCCCTTGAAATCGACCTGAAATGTTATCTAGATTATTAATTAGACATTAATTAACTTAATGTATTGGAGTCAAATACATTTTGTGCTGGATGCGGTTACTGTAAAAATAGATAATCAAAACATTGTTTATTATTGTAACAACAGTATTGATGTCAATTAAGGCTAGTCTATAATTGTATCGCCTATTCCTTGGCTTAGAGAAGTAATTTGACTGAAATTTTCAAAATATTCTCTTTTCATCATCTATTTTTTAATTATTATAGGAAGAATTGTCAGCCCTTTATCTAATCTTACCTAATGCTGCTTTGATTTAAAGGTGTTAACTCCGTCCATGTTGTTTTTCAGGTGTACATATCATCAATTTAAAGAAGACATGGGATAAATTATTATTGGCTGCTCGTATTATCGCAGCTGTAGAGAATCCAGCTGATATCTCAGTACTCTCAGCTCGACCTTATGGTCAGAGAGCTATCCTGAAATTCGCCACCTACATTGGCGCTACTCCCATTGCTGGTCGATTTGTGCCTGGTACTTTCACCAATCAGATTCAGGTACGTTTTTTTATAAATATAATTTTTTGAGGCACTCATCTATTTTCTAGCCTACGGTGGTTTTGAAATGCGAATTTTGCTAGGTTTTTGTCAGCCCTCAAAGAAAGCTGGCGACTATTACAATGGGTTCGTTTGTAAAACATTTCGGTTGTAACTTAGTTTAAGTTTTCGTGAATAAGTGCCCAGAGCTATATAATCAAACAGTGGGAAACTGAAGATATAAGTGTTGACTCGCCTCAGTCCTAAAATGCACATTTATCATTTAATAATGATAAAACTGTTTTATTACTCTGCATAAACTGTTAAAGTACTGGACCATATAATATTTTATTCTTATTTCTATTTTTCAGGCTGCCTACCGAGAACCCAGATTAATTGTTGCTACTGATCCACGAACTGATCATCAACCAATCACAGAGGCTTCTTACATCAATGCCCCAATTATCTCCCTTTGTAACACAGATTCCCCTCTTCGCCATATTGATATAGCTATTCCATGTAACAATAAGGTAGGCTCATGTTATGTAACTTTACAGGGGTTAAAGGAAAAAGTTCTTGTTCTTTCATTTGCAAGCAATTTTGTTTTAGTGATTTTCCACATATTGAATGCTTAAAAACTTGTTCCAATATTCGTGATTTGCCAGTGACGAATGTTTCATTGCTAGAAGCCCCCCCCCCCCTTTAAACTACAGGGGGACATAACTCTGCATGATAGTTGAGTATCGGAATAAAACAGGCGGTTAAAAAAATCAGTACCGTGTTGACCAAACTGTGGTACGGAATTTAAAGTACCTTGCACCGAAGCGTGGCATATGTAGTCTCACTGTATATCATGGCAGCACTAGTGTTTATGTTAAGTTTTCTGATCAAAAAGGGCGAAGAAACTAGAGGGCCCAGAGAAAACTCACGAGGTAGGACAGGCAACGAGCGGGGAAACGAAACCACACCACTTGACACAATGACAGACCTTATGATCTAACGTGCGTGGATTAAACCATTTGGCCAATGGTTTTCTGTTCAATTAGAATTTGTTTATGTGCATTAGTACAGAAGAATCTTATAAAATGTTGTTTTTTCAGGGTGTTCACTCTATTGGTTTAGTCTGGTGGCTGTTGACTCGGGAAGTTCTACGTCTTCGTGGAACCATCAGCCGAGAACATCCCTGGGATATTATGGTGGATCTGTTCTTCTACAGAGATCCTGAAGAGGTATGTCATACTTAGATATCTTTGGAACCAGCGTGATTTCTGGCATGAACAAATAGTAGTAGTAGGCCGTCAGTAAAGAGGGGTGAGGGGACACACGTGATATCTGGCATGAACGACAAGCAGCAATGTATTGGGCCATCAGTACACAGGGTGATGGACCCTGTGTGAAATCTGGCATGAAGGAGACCCAGCAGTAATTGTAGACCATCAGTCCACAGGGCGATGGAACGAGCGCTATTTCTTGCATGATCGTGAAGAAGCAGTCGTCGGTACACAGGGGCGATGGAACGAGTGTGATTTCTTGAATGAACGACTGGGCCAATGAAGACAGAATTTTTAATCCAGATTCACATAATTGAATGAAAAACCAATGTCCAGAGTGCAGAGTTGTCATTGACTGTGCAGTTTAAAGTTGCTTCATGTGAGCATTATATTGTAGGTTGTTGTTCATTATCTAGACAAGTTCCCATTGTATAAATAACATGTTAGTCTTGAAGTCTCCAAATAGATTGATTACAAGAGAGGTAAGGGGGTACTCCTAATCAGCATTGGACAACGAAAAAGATTAATAACTTTCCAAACACTAATTTTGTCCAATCATTATTTTCAGATTGAGAAGGAAGAAAGAGAAGCTCTAGAGAAGGCCCAGGCTGCTAAAGATAGTGCTGAAGATCCATGGCCTGAATCAGGAACCGCTCCTCCAGCTATTGCTGCCTCTACTGAAGTTACCGATTGGGCCAGTGAAGCTATCCCTGTCACTACCAATCCTATCCAAAGCTATGCCGGCAACACCCAGGACTGGTCTGGTGCTGGTGGAGAGAAGGATTGGTCTGGTGTTACAGGAACTGGAGCCGCAGCTGCTCCAGAAAGTAAAGAATGGGCTTCTCAGGCACCTGCTGGAAAGAGTGAATGGGGTGGCGGCAGCACTGAGCAATGGTAGATAACTCTAACCAGTCTTCTAGCTCAATGACCAATAAAAGAATTGTCAAATTCAAAAGAAATAAAAGAAAAATCATCTTACATTTTGATTTGTTTTCAATTTTACTTTTGATGCAGGAAATGTTATGAAAAGACTTTGAATTATTTGTGATTTTTAGGGAGGGAATATATGTTAACACAAAAGCAGGAATAATTCTTCGGCACAATTTAAATGAAGATAAAAACGGGTGGGATATTTGCAAATTCTATTTCTACCAGTACTTTCTGTGTTAACTCCTAGAATTAAAAGAAAATCTGATTTTGCTGCTTATTCAAGTAATTTGGTATGATACAGATGCTTCACAATCAACATTTGTCAAGCTACGTAATCAAAATAATGAAAGATGAATCTCTTAATAAGGAACATCATTCCAATTTGGCAACCTCTTCAGATGATATAAACTGGTGTTACACCACCTGTAATCTGTTGTTGGATCTCTTGAGTTAACACATGCACGGTGTATCATAAGGTCTGTCATTGAGTCAACTGCAGTGGTTTCGATTCCCTGGTTGTACGTGATGAGGAGTAGGGCCGGCTGTTCAACCTTGTGGGTTTTCTCTGGGTTCTCCGGTTTCTTCCCATTGCTAAAGACCCCAACAAGCAAGCAAATTATTGAAATAAAATTGAACTATGTTAGGCCCGAAATGACCTAGTGTGTATCGAGTGGATGCTAAACTCTCCCTCCCTCCACAAGGGCAACCAGACTGTGGTTCGTGGTCAGTGTTGATCCTGCCCCTGGTCAATTCAGCAGGTTTGAACTATACAAAGCTGCATTGTCATCTAATGTATGTGTCATGTCATCATGAATTTGCTTTCGTGAAGATACGGTTAGTGCTAAAATTTAAGGCCAGCTCAATTTTTCGTCATAGGTCACAAGATGTAAACAGGGCTAGTGCTAATCCCAACCCTAGCCCCAATGCTTACCCTAACCTAGAATCTCGCCAACAATCACGTGCCCTAACCTTATTTACATCTTGGCGACCGTGACAAAAACTGAGCTGGCCATAAATAGATTTAGCCATGAAGATACTAAACCATGGCTCTGCATTTGGTTTTCCCCATTTTGAGAATGCATGAGAGGGTCCTGTTGTTTGCCAACTGTGTATAAGAAATTATACATGTAGTATGTGGAATTCATATTTTGCTTGTCCAGCACATACTGAGATACTTTTATAGCAACATGAGTAGATTGGTTGGGACACCCGTCGTACCATGTTCCTGAAGCAACGACTGCGAGTTTTACAACATCTAGACGTTGCTTGTTTACTTCAAAATTCCCGAACTTATAGCTATGTTATCTACAGTAGCGTCTAATCAGAGGTTGTGACATCGCGACCTCCATGGAAACCTTGACATTGAATGAACCTTGAACTTTGCAACTCGATTATCACAGGTAGACATTTAGTTTGAAAGCACGAGACTTGGTATTCACGACGATCGAGAAATCTGATAAGCTCACAAGTTGGGCTTGTACCCAATCGAAATTAGTGCCCCAATATGCAAGGTATTACGTGAAGGCCTTGATAAGATGTATGTAGTTAAAGCGAGATCAAGCCTTCTATTGAAGATGCCCTCGTACATGACTTGTCTACAATATCACCTTAATGGAAGCGTGGTTAAATAAAACTATTTTGTTAAATCCATTTATATAAAAAAAACTGGAGTATAAAAATGAAAATATTTTTTTTAAGTTTTTCTTTTTTTGATAATTGGTTCTGTTGGTTCACTGTCATTATTATTAGCATCAAGTTTTTCTTGAAAGTCTGGAATCAGTTTGTTACCAAGGTAATATGTCCATAAAGTTATCTCCACTTTATGTCCTGTCCAATTAAATCCCATATCTGAAAAAGAAAAACGAAAAAAAAAAATAAGAATAATTTATTCTCCATGGGCCAGTACTTTTCCACATGTGGTATTGCCAAAATTAAAATATATTGTTATTTTAACCACAGAACAGCTTCAGAGAAATGAATTAAAATGGGATTTATTTTTCTGCACCGACTGGGCTAAGATACGCCATGCAGTGTGATACACAGCTTCTTCTTATTTCGAATTCCTATTGTCAAATGTGCTTTTACAAGCATGCCATTGAAGACAGGCATACACATACAGTGTGCTATGAGGGAAATTTTGCCTAGATAGCGGCACTAAGGCCTATTTTGAATTCCAACTGTTAATAGTTCCTTTACGTGCACGCCACTGTGTACACGGAACATCGGTTTTTCATTCCATCCGAATGGCTAGATATTGTCCTTGTCAGTCCTTTCGTCCTGCACCACCAGCGTCTTACTGAACCCCTGTGGCTCCCGAGTGAAAAATAGATTTCTGGAAAAAGACAGTACCAATTAAGAGATATAGCTGAATGTGTGATCCCCTGCCGAAAGTTTACTGGCACAATTCAGGTGGTTCAGAGTTCACATATAATTCAAAAGTCAAATATATGTACTGAAATGAAATAGGGTTTAACGTCCTACTGTTGTGCTCCGACTGGGCTAATGAAGACAGGCATATGCCATACAGTGTGCTATGAAGGAAAATTTGCCTGGACAGCGGCACTACAGCCTACTCTTATATCGAATTCCAACCCCCAAGGTCTCTTTAATGTGCACTACAATGTGTGCGTGGGATCTCGGTTTTCTGTCTCGTCCAAACAACTAAAATAAAGGGTGTGTTTGTACAAAAAAAGATAGCACAAAATTATTATTATTACAGTGGACTCTGTCAATTCCGACATCATACTGGATCAATACAATATGCCGGATTACACAGCATGTTGATATACCCAATTGTCTCAATACAGGAAATATTATTGTACCTTGTACAAAAACAGATAGCACAATTATTATTACTATTTGTTTAAGAGGGATAAAGATGACTGTGAAATCCATAGCAACTGATGTAAACATGAAATGGGCATAAAATATCAATTAAAAAGCTCAATATAGAAACACACCCACACTGTCACACCATGGTGTTAATAATGAGTCAAAAAATGACAGAGAGAGAAATGGGATTTAACACCCACTCAACACAAACTATGTCATTTCGGGACTAACATGGTTTAATTTTTTATTACAGTAATTCGCGTGCGCGTAGGGGTCTTTAGTAGTGGGAAGAAACCGGAGAAAACCAATGGGGTTGGACAGGCGACCCTACTCCTTGTCATGTTCAACCGGCAAATGGAAACCACGCCAGTTGTGTCAAGAAATGATATACTGATATTACAGACATTGATTACATAACAGGAGTCTGAATTTCTATCTATACATACACCATATTGTTTATTGTCTAGCAGGGTATGGTGTATGTACAGATAGAAATTCAGACTCCTTTGATGTCGAGAGGGAAGGGAAATGGGGTTTAACGTCCACTCGACACAAACTAGGTCATTTCGGGACTAAAATGGTTTAATATTATTTCAATAATTCGCTTGCGCGTAGGGGTCATTAGCAGTGGGAGGAAACTGGAGGACCCGGAGAAAACTCACGAGGTTGGACAGACGACCCTACTCCTTGTCACGTACAACCGGGGACTCAAAACCACGGCAGTTGACCCAATGACAGATCTTATGATACAGCGCGCACATGCTAACCATTGCGCCATCCAACCTCCCATTCTGTGATGTAATCAATAAATAAATATTTCTCACATGACTGAAATGAGTTTCTTTTGATTTGCTCCACTTCATAGAAAAGTGAATCAATGAGTTACAACATAAAATAAGATTTACCTTGTTTTTGTAATTTCCTGGTAATTTTTCTGATTTTCTCGTTATATTCAAGGTAAGTCTTCAGGTTATAGTCAATGGTAGTAAACCCAGGTAGAGCTAAAACACTTTCATCTGCCATAAATGGAACGTCTTGACAACCAGCAGCCAATACAGCTGTAACACATAGTAACACATAACACATGGTAACTTCATTTAAATATTCCTGTAATTCCAGTATTTGGTGCATTTTGAAAGGTCAGGGACGGATCCAGGGGGGGGGGGGGGGGTTGAAAGCCCCCCTTGCTCATCTACATAAATTTTTTTGTAAATCAACACTTTTTATGAGAAAATTTTCTCGGCCATGTGCTTTATCCTTTATCGTCAGTTGTGGGACAGGATGGGCACTCAAAGCACGAAATAATGATATAGACATTATGTGATATCACAATTAATGCTTTGCATCCATGAAATTGAATCACAATGTCATTGTATTAATTCATAATAAAAATTGACGTCAAACGAGGTGTTGAATTTCTCTGTTTAAAAAGCCCAATGTGTACGTATATACGCCAAAATGACGATAGAGACCATGCGGGAGGAGGAGGGGGGGGGCGATATATTGTCTCAGGAACCTGGTAAACCCCCCTCCTGCAAAAATTCCTGGATCCGCCCCTGAAGGTGAAATCTTTGATAATCTGATTAAAATACAGATTTTTATTTCATTTCGTCTTTTTTAAACTTTTGATGGCCTAAACTACATGAAGATTTGACTGGCTGTAGTGGAAGGTTGTGTCAGATGTCATACGAGCGGTTTTTGACCCTATGATGTCGGCCATTTGGTTAACCAATCAGCATTGATACTTATAGTGGGTTACCCACAGTTCCGTGCATCTCACAATTAAAACTTGCCGTAGCAGACCGTTTCATTGGCTAATCCCTCAAAATAATCCAGAATGTGGTTTATATAACAACTCTTCCAGATCCTAGTGTAGTAAAGACAAGTAAAACTAAATTTTGAACTATAAAAAAACAAACGAAATAGGATCTGTGTTTTAACCAGATTGTAACTTTGAATTGTTTGACACCCGAATCTCTGATGTGAACATATTATCATTGCTCTCACATTATCTTGTATAAAATATCATATCTTTACACAAATTTTCAACAATGTTTTATTTAAAGAGCAATATATACAGGACCTCGTTTTTTTTTATCCCATCCGAAGAACTAGACAGCTGTCCTTGTCAGGCCTCCTTCCTGCACCACTGACAAGGGGAAACCATGTCGGAAAAATTTGAGCTTTGATGTGGTAGCACAATTTACCCAAATCTACCATTATTTCAACTCGTATCACAATATCACCCCATTTCTCTCTCTCTCTCTCTCTCTCTCTATATATATATTTATATATATATATAGAGAGAGAGAGAGAGAGAAATGGGGTTTAACCTCCACTCGACACAAACTAGGTCATTTTGGGTCTAACATATGGTTCAATTTTATTTAAATAATTCACTTGCACGTAGGGGTCTTTCGCAGTTGCCGGAACCCGGAGAAAACCCACAGAGTTGGAAACAAGTCTGGAAATAAGGCACCGGTAACAGAACAATGTTAGACACAAACTGAGGCTCTGTCTGGCACAATTAGGACAGCCAATGGAATTTTTATGTACCAAACCAAAAAGAACAAAATAAAAAAATAGATAAGTCTTCTTCAGTGACGATTTAAAAACTAGGTTAAACATTACCTGATGCTGTAGCTGGACCGATGGCTTTTAATACAGTCAATGCTTGTATAGCGGCTGATATATTGGGTAGTAATTTAAACGCTTTTAGACTGGCTGCCTTGACATCATCTTCACTATTACTGGATACCATCTGCTGTAGTCTTGGTCGAAACTTTCCTCTCTGTAGTACATTGGATTTAAATATGTTCTATTCATTTATTCACAAAAGCAATAAGAGAGAAGGAAATAATTCGCTTTCGTGTAGGGGTCTTAAGCAGGGGGAGGTAACCGGAGGACCAAGAGAAAACCCACGTACAAACATGGAATCGAAACCACACCTGTTGACTTAATAACAGACCTAATGATACAATGCGCACACGCTAACCATTCAACCATCCAACCGCAACCCAGCACCAGGTCAAAGACGGAAACTAAGTGCAGGAGTACAAGAGAAGGCATGCTCCCCTAATATAACGGATAAAAAGTATTTGTATCGATATTTGATAATATAGCGTTTTCAATGCCATATTGTCATATCTAATTTAAAATCGTTGTGTTTTTAAGTCAAATTGCCCCTCAAAATCTGATTTCCGAGCAAGTTTAGAAGCCATAACCAACAAAGGACATAACTCATCATGTAATAGACAAATCTATCATTATTTCAACATCACATTTGGACAAAAAACCGCTACGATTTGAAATTAAACATTACAATTTAGCATAAAGAACGGTCAGGTATAAAAGATCGTTATAATTTATTGTGATATGAGTTGAATAAATGGTAGATTTGGGTAAATTGTGCTACCACATCAAAGCTCACATTTTTCCGACATGGTTTCCCCTTGTCAATGGTGCAGGAAGGAGGCCTGACAAGGACAGCTGTCTAGTTCTTCGGATGGGATAAAAAAAACGAGGTCCTGTGTATACATTGGCATGCATGTAAAAGATCCCTTGCACACTGTGTGGCGTATGCCCGTCTTCATTAGCCCAGTCGGAGCAGAACAGTAGGACGTTAATTTAATTTCATTTCATTAGACCGACTTTTCATAGTTCACACACTAAGTATTAATTGATTGTTTCAACGTACCGTTAGTTTCCAGGTCATCAACCGACAGATTTCTGAATGACTAATATATTTCTCATCTCTTCCTGATATTAAATCTGGTAATTCATTCTGATACCTATAAATATATATAGTTTAGTGAAAACATTTATAGTTGAAACATAGTTCAGTAGGCCTAATAAGCAATAAGTGTAATTGTATTCCATAGAATTGTAATTTATGGGATGAAACGACCCATGTAAATTTGGGATGAAACAGCCCGGATGAAACATCCCAAGTGAAGTGGTCGTGGGATGAACTGACCTGCTCCCGTAATTAAACATACATTATGCAAGAGCTAAATCTGCCTATTTCAGGTCTTTCTTTAGGCCTGAAATGTTATCTAAATTATTAATTAGACTTTAATTAACCTATCCAGGCCACAATCAACTCTAGATGGCAGCACTTGCCTGCGATCTTTAGTGGATTGTAAGCCGATTTACTGCATAACTTTCCTTCTCGATTAAACAATTAAATGGATAATCGAGACTATGCTGTTTATCGTACTGACTTTAGTAAGGATGACCGAGCGAGGCTTATGGGAATTTCAGTCGCTTAGTTCTCAGTTCATACTGGATCAATTTGAATGAAATTTTCACCAAATTGCCTTTATTATCTAGTTTTTAACTATTATAGTGAGAACTGCCAACTCGTTACTGAATCTCCCATAATGTATCTTTAATAAGCAAAGTATATCATACATCATGCCTTTACTTAAGGACTCAATAGCCTTAGAACAGAGGTGGGGTAAACTATACAGTTAAGTACAGATATATTTTAATAATATTTTCATATTCATATTATTGCAACAACAATATGCATGTTCATACCATTTGTCAAGATCCAGAAGTTCTTTCTTTTTTGCCTCTTTCATTTTATCAGCTTTTGCTTGGAGAACATTTGCATACTCTCTGTAAACATTTTGCCATCCTGAATTTTCGATATTCTTGGTAAATTCCGACATATTTCAGCTATGTTTTATAACCTCTTAAAGTCCCGCCATCTATTTTGTTTACAACATGGTCACTTTCTCAACTTTTATTCAGAAGAGCAATAATAGTCTCGGTTGTCCCATTTAAAACAATTATAGTACTTGATAATCGAGGATAAATCATTATTGGATTTGTCTCCCTTTTACCGCTGTCGGAATTAACTATAACAAAAATAATACAACAATGACAAATAAGACCGTCACTTCGGTTTTTTTTATCATGTAATGGTCTTTTAGTGTAATTTTTTTTTTAACTGTAAGATTTTGAAATATGAAACAATTTGCTGATTTTTTTTTATTTCAAAACGAAAAACTGAAACGGAACTCAGAAGTACGAAATATCTTGTATTTCCCCTTCACTTGGAGAGCAAATTGGGTTTAACGTCCACTTTATTATTTCTGAACGGACCCCCAAATTAGTTCTTTAAATTTGTACAATAAATATATCAAATGTTCCAGTGTGAGTAATGGATTTACCTATATCTAAATAGATGTTTGACCAATGAGAGAGAGAGAGAGAGAAATGGGGTTTATGGTCCACTGGACACAAACTAGGTCATTTCGGGACTAACATATATGGTTCAATTTTATTTCAATAATTTGATTGAATTAGCAGTGGGAGGAAACCAGAGGACCCAGAGAAAACTCACGAGGTTGGACAGGCGACCTTAATCTTGGTCACATTTAACCAGGGAATCAAAACCACGCCAGCTGACTCAAAAGACAGACCTTATTATACAACGCACACGCACCAACCATTCGGCCATCCACCCCCCTTTAGCATGGTTGCTGAAACTGTAGGACCCAGAAGAAACCCACAAGGTTATACAGGCATTCAAGCAGTTACAAATTATAGCTCGACCAGCACCCTGGTGATCACGTGGGTAAGACGCTGGCTCGCTAGCCTGGAGGTCGGGTGTTCGATCCCTGCATTGGCCGAGAAAGTTCATCCAGATTTTCCGGCGTGGTTCCCCCTTGTCAGTGATGCAGGACGGAGGGCCTGACAAGGACAGCTGTCTAGTCCTTCGGATGACACGAAAAACCGAGGTCCCCGTGTATAAATTGGAATGCACGTAAAAGATCCCTTGGCAGTTGGAATTCGATATAAGAGTAGGTGATAGTGCTGCTGCCCGGGCAAAATTTCCTTCATAGCATACTGTATGGTGTATGCCCGTCTTCATTAGCCCAGTTCGGAGCAAAACAGTAGGACGTTAAACCCCATTTCATTTCATTTCATTTCGACCAGCACCCAGGTTCCAACTCCTTCAAGCTTAATTAGCCGAGTGTGTTAATCTGTTTAATTAAAACAACATGAAAACTGTAAAAACTATTTTTACATATCTTCCAAAGTTTATTTCTTAAATTGAAACAGACTTTATCTTGTCAAAAAATGGCATATGACACACAAAAAACAACTCTGGATGATCTAAATGTATCTCACATTCAAATAAAATGACAAACAAAACATAAAATAAATCGTCAACTGGTAGTTCAAGTCTAATATTCAATTTAGTGTCTAAAATATTTATGGAATACCCTCTTGCTATATGTTACATATTTATTTACTTGCACTGACCCAAATTATTCCGATACTGAAAATATCAATATTATCAAATTATTCCGATACTGAAAATATTATCAATATTACCAAATTATTCCGATACTGAAAATATTATCAATATTACCAAATTATTCCTATACTGAAAATATTATCAATATTACCAAATTATTCCGATACTGAAAATATTATCAATATTACCAAATTATTCTGATACTGAAAATATTTTCAATTTTACCAAACTATTCTGATACTGAAAATATTATCAGTATTATCAAATTATTCCGATACTGTAAATATCAATATTACCAAATTATTCTGATATTGAAAATATTATCAATATTACCACATGAATTTAGGCCATACCAATTTGAAAGTTAAGTTCTTTGGGAAAACCTGAAAATTTTGCTTAATATTTCTTGGTGAACAAAAGATATAAAAACAGAAAAACTTTGCTGCTCTTCTCACCAAATTTGTTAAAATTCAATGAGGCTCCTTATCAAGATCTAGAATAACTGAAACTCAAATTGGTTTGGCCTTAAATTTTGTTTGGAAAAGAAAATGTATCACAGACCTTCAAGTTAACAGTTTTATTCTACAAATTATTCAAGTTAAAATAGCCAGGAATGTCAATTTGAGTTTATTAAAATGCAGTAATCTTAAAGTTCTGAGTTTCAAAAACATGCAATAATCTTATAAAGTAAAGTTTTGAGTTTAAAAACATGCAGTAATCTTAACAGTAAGGATCTGAGTTAAAAAAACCTTACAGAATAAGGATCTTAGTTTAATCTTATACTTATAGAAAAAGGATTTGAGTTCAAAAACATGCCATAATCTTAAAGTTCTGAGTTTAAAAACATGCAGTAACCTTAAAGTTATGAGTTTAAAAACATGCAGTAACCTTAAAGTTCCGAGTTTAAAAACATGCAGTAACCTTAAAGTTCCGAGTTTAAAAGCATGCAGTAACCTTAAAGTTCCGAGTTTAAAAACATGCAGTAACCTTAAAGTTCCAAGTTTAAAAACATGCAGTAACCTTAAAGTTCCGAGTTTAAAAGCATGCAGAAATCTGAAGTTAGAATAGGGATTCAAGTTTAATCCCTTAGTGTAAGGATCCAAGTGTAACCTATTAGAATAAGGATCGGAGTTTAAAAACATGCAATAATCTTATAGAATAAGTATAGCTGAGTTTAATCCCTTAGTGTAAGGATCCAAGTGTAATCTATTAGAATAAAGAGAGAGAGAGAGAGAAATGGGGTTTAACGTCCACTCGACACAAACTAGGTCATTTCGGGACTAACATATGGTTTTTAATTTTATTTCAATAATTCGCTTGCACGTAGGGGTCATTAGCAGTGGGAGGAAACCAGAGGACCCGGAGAAAACCCACGGGGTTGGACAGGCGACCCTCTATTAGAATAAGGATCCGAGTGTAATCTATTAGAATAAGGATCCGAGTGTAATCTATTAGAGTAAGGATTTAAGTTTAATTTAAACTCTAATTTGAAATGAAAGTAATTGTGGAGGACGGGTTAACAAACAGAGGGGACAACATTATACAACCACAATTTAATGTAGGTGATTAAACCCTTTTTAGGCTATCTTGAACTGAAGAAGAATGTTAATATCACATTAAAAATGATTTAATGTTTTTTGGGGGTTTTTTTTCCTCAATATTCCATTATTGTTTATTTCGCACGATCTCATTAAAATCAGATTACAATTTTTTTTTATTCTTTACTTATACACGTCATTTTAATGATCTACCTCTTTGAGAAATAAAAGAGAACAGACATCTGATTTTAATCCGAGTATATTTTTGTATACATTTTAATCCACGTCTTGTATAATTTAATAACTTTCCGCGCCTACGCGGTAATAAAATATTTTTTGTTTCCAGTTCCTTGATTAAAATATTTTTTTGTTTCCAATTCCTTGATTAAAATATTTTTTTGACCATTTTTTGTAGTAACATGAAACCTTGAGATAAGATATATTTCGTTTTTTAACATCCCCAGCAAAAAGAGAAAAATACTGAGAAGAGTAAATTAGCGTTAAAACGGAATCACAGAAGACGTTACATAGCACATGTTAAAATAATGTTAATGCAGTTATATTTTAACTTGAGAGAGAGAGAAAAATGGGGTTTAACATCCACTCGAACACAAACTAGGTTATTTCGGGACTAATGCATGGTTCAATTTTATTTCTATATTTTTATTGCACGTAGGGATATTTAGCCATGGGAGGAAACCAGACGACCCAAAGAAAACCCACGAGGTTGGACAGGCAACCCTCCTCCTTGACACGTACAACTGGGGAATCGAAACCATGCCAGTTGACTCAATGAGAGCTTATCATATAACGTGCACATGCTAACCATTCGGCTATCCAACCTCCCCACTCAATGTACAATCTGATTAAAATACAGATCTATATTTCATTTCGTTTTTTTTTATACTTTCGATAGCCTACACTTCATGAAGATCTGACCAATTTTAGTGGAGGGTGGCCTCAAGCCAAACACTAACCGTAACAGACTCACATCCAGAACGTTGGTTATATAACAACTCTTCCAGATCCTAGTGTAGTAAAGACAGAGAGAGAGAGAGAGAGAAATGAGGTTTAATGTCCACTCGACACAACTAGGACATTTCGGGACTAACATATGGTTTAATTTTATTTCAATAATTCGCTTGCGCGTAGGAGGTCTTTAGCAGTGGGAGGAAACCGGAGGATCCGGAGAAAACCCACGAGGTTGGACAGACGACCCTACTCCTTGCCACGTACAACCGGGGATTCAAAACCACACCAGTTGACTCAATGACAGGCTTTATGATACAGCACGCTCGTGCTAACCATTCGGCCACCCAACCCCCCTGTAGTAAAGACAAATAAATCTACATTTTGAACTTTAAAAAACGAAACGAAATAGTATCTGTGTTTTAACCAAATTGCTCAACGTATCAACTAGGTCTTTCAAACAGAATCTTTTGCATTCAGACCTCTTTAGATACAGTGGTGAGTTAAAACTGACGCTTGTATATAAATTACAGATCTATCCCTCAAATCCTTTTCCGTAAATAAAATACCGTTTATATATATATATAAAAAAAAATTGTTATCATCTGTAGCTTATTCCAATCAAAACATCTGCATTATTAAAAGTCAAAGTTTAACACTCCTAGATGTTGTTAAAAATATGAATTAAACAAATATGCTGCTCATCGAGACATGATAACTTGGGATGACGATGTTGCTGCCGTAAATTAAGTGTACATATATATGGCCGTAATTTCATCAATCTAAAAATATTTAATTTTGATCTACCCCATCAATTGTTCTTTTTTTTTTTTTCTTTTTTTTTTCTGATTTAAATTTTTGTACAAATCAAAAGCTATTTTTAATTTAAATATCAAAGGTTAAATATTATATAGCACTTATTGATAAGGAAATAACAAGGGGTTTCCATGGTTACCAATTTTAGAAGAAAAAAAACAACATATCTACAATAATAAGAAAATGTTACAAACCAAATAATTTTACATTTTATTTTATTTCATCATTAATTTTATTTACATATTTTTGTATTCAATGTATATTTATTTATTCACTTAAAAACAAATAATTTATATCATTTTTTACAAGAATTCACAAAAAAAACAAACAATTTTGTTATTCATAATCTAAAAACTGGTGTCTTTCAAAGTAATCAAAACTTTCAAACATTTCATTTTCCTCATGCAAGTTGTTCAAAATAGAATATATGAAATAACTGCAATCGGAGGCTGTTCATTAAAACACTTTTCTTAATCCACTTAATTGATTCCTACGTGATCATATTAAACTACATTCCTATATCAGGGTTTATACAGATCTTTACACACAAATATCAACAAGTATGCAAAATATTTCAAATAATAAAATTCTAACTTCACACAAAAAATTAGTATCAATTAATTTAATTTTAGTTAAGTGAAAATTTATTAGAACTGTAACATGATTTATACATGCCATTTTCTGTATAAACATAAATAAGACTTTTCATTTACAAATGGCACATTTTTTAAAATTTTGAAGAAATTCTGTAGAAACCCTGAAGATTCTAAATCTACATCATATATCATTTCATGTATATCAACAAACCATTCCTACTATCAACTCCTGATACAAGACACTAACACACTCATATTTATCACCCGTGTAAAAAAAACGTACTCTCAAATTTTTTTTTTTTTATTAATCCGAAGGACTAAAGTCAAATTACCCTTTTTTCCACCGTGCGTTATTGGGGATCAAGCCCTTATCAGGACTAAGATAATATTTTCACTGGCCAAATTTAACTATATAAATAGTATAAGTGAAGTAAGGTGTTCACAATGGGGTTTAACGTCCACTCGACAAAAACTAGGTCATTTCGGGACTAACACATGGTTCAATTTTATTTTAATAATTCGCATGCGAGTAGGGGTCTTTAGCAGTGGGAGGAAACCGGAACACCAGGAGAAAACCCACGAGGTTGGACAGGCGACCCTACTCCTTGTCATATACAACCGGGGAATCAAAACCACGCCAGTTGACTCAATGACAGACCTTATGATGCAGCGCGTACGCGCTAACGATTCGGCCATCCAACCCCCCTGAATGATAGAGACTACATTGCTACTGAATATCAGTACCAGAAGTCAAAATATTCATAAAATATTCATAAAATATATTCGCCAGAGTACGTCCGTTTCACGGAATAAATATCGATGTGCCAGAGCATTGATCAACACTACCCTAAGACTTTAATAAACTAAATTCTTCCATTTAAAATCATATCGATTAAAAACAATTATTACTACAAAATTACCAAGTGAAAGATGAAATTTAAAAATGCTTCTTCCTTTTATAGTTTTGTTTAGGATGATTTTTAACATGTAGAATGAAATTTTGAAATTTACGATTTGTGACGTTGTTGAGATCAAAGTTAACAATGGTTAGCTTGAAAAATAATATGTTATATCTTCACATTAGTCTTGTGATAAAATTGTTCGGACGAATTCACCATTAACTGCCATAGACCTATCTGTCCAACAATGAACTATGTCACGGGATATAGGGGTTAACGTCCACTCGACACAAACCAGCTCATTTTGGGACTAACATATGGTTTAGTTTTATTTCAATAATTCGCTTACGCGTAGGGGTCTTTAGCAGTGGGAGGAAACCGGAGAACCCGACAAAAACCCACGAGTTTGGACACTGATAAAGAATAAAAATATTTGAATTCAAACAAGATAAAGATGTAATAATTTCAAGGCCCTTCATAATTTCATGTCTAGGCCTATCACGGTCAAGGGTAAAAACATCATAACAAAATGAACACTTGACAACATAAAGATGAGTATGTGAATGAGTTGTCAACATCTTGGTCAAAACCAAAATAAACAAAGATGGCTACTTATAATCACTATCGACATCCAAAATGTTTCAAGTTTTTCAACAAATTTTTATAAGCTTTCATAATTTGGAATTGAACTGTTTATCAAGATCAAAACAAGATTTTACCAAAAAAATACTGGCATATTTTTGACATAGAATATGATAAAGTCAACAGAATGATATTTTGTATTTAAGCCAATCAAATGCATTATCTCATGAATTCTAAGAATAAAAAAACAAAGAGGAAATTCCACAATAATGTCTTGGATAATGGAAATAATCGACATTTGATTGCTTACAATACTGATTTCCTTAAGTTTATTCACTGATTCAACAATCTAACAATAAAAATATCTTTCTTAATGCCATTATTATCAGTATAATTTTTCAAAGAAATAAAATGGCCACCAATTTAACGGCAGTGCGGCGCCATGTTTCAGCCCCTCCCCCTTCCCGACAAAAAATATTTATGATGTCATTATTTACACAATGGTTATTCCCCTTTATGACAAGACAATAAAAACGTGACAACAATCTGACTGTACAATGTGTCCATGTCAATAATGACTTCCTCTTTTAGTCACACGAGAGTTATCTTCCCATTGATGACATAACATCCACCATTATTCAAGTTACTATTGTGTTGCCCACGACAACGCTGCAGTAGTCGATGTTATTTATGTGAAAAATAATTCAAAATCTGTTGTCAAGAACCATAACTCCGTGCAACATTCAAGAAGGAAATATTGATATGTTTGGTTAAAAACAATGGGAGGTTATAGATCTTCAAAATGACGAGTTGTTTCATGAGACGTTGAATGGAGTATGGGGAGATAATCCCCGACTATCTTTTACTTTGTGCGATTGCACGAGTTGAGTTCGTCGTTCGAGGTAATGGCATCTCGAATTCTACGAAGAGTGAGAAATGATCTGATGGTATGTGTGGATGGGGACAGCCAATGATCTTGTTTTGTTTAAACCACTCGTCGTCAATAGCTCCCAGCATGCCAAGTAAATTCATGTGATCCTTTGAGTAGAAGATGTAATCTATAATACCTTTAAAATCATACCTGAAAAATAAATGATAAAAAAAAATATAGAGAGAGACAAACTAGGTCATTTCGGGACTAACATATGGTTCAATTTTGTTTCAATAGTGGGAGGAAACGGAGGACTCAGAGAAAACCCACAAGGTTGGACAGGCAACCCTACCCCTTGTCACGTACAACTGGGGAATGGAAACCACGCTACTAGACCCAATGACAGACCTAATGATACATTCGGTCATCCAACACCCCTACTTGGTATGGTAACTATATTGTACAATGTATGATCTACGTGTATGTATTAGGCCAAAAGCTGCGGTGTTGGCGGAGAAAGTTCATCGGGATCCCCCTTGTCAGCAACGCAGGACGAAGGGTCTGGCAAGGGACAATGTATTGGCGTTTGGATGGGACGTAAAACTGAGGTCGAGTGTACACAATTGCGTGCACTTAAAAAACTCTACAGTTAGTATTCAAAAGAGTAGGCGATAGTGCTGCTGTCCTGGCAAAATGTCCCTCATAGCACGCTGTAAGATGTATGCTTCCCTCCATTAGCCCAGTCGGTGCAGAACAGCAGGACGTTAAACCACAGAAATAAGAGGCAAAATTTTAAATAAGTACGACCAAATAACATTCAAATTGGTGAGGTTCTGTGATTTTTTTGCAAAGAACATTCAAATTGTTGAGGCTCTATGTGATTTTTTCTTTTTTTGCAAAGGGCCTCAGGAAGTTTTGAAATTTTAATAGTCCAGTCAATCTATGGTAAATTTAGGGCAACCTAGGGCAAATTGTAACAGTTTCGATTTTGTTTGTTGGATCATCCTCTACAACATATCCAAAGGGCCTAATTTACATAATGGTACATGCATATTGTAACAGTTTCCATGGTACCATTTTGTTCGTTCGATCATCCTCTACAATATATCCAAAGTTCTCTGATTTTGGGCTGGGGAAAGGGACAAATTAGCATAACATAACCAAAGTTCTCTGATTTTGGGCCCAAGAAACGGCCAAATTAGCATAAAGGGCCTAATTAGCATAAAGGCACATGCATACTTACGTGTAATTAGTATTGGGCATTATCTCGCTGTTATTATAGGCACGACCAAGACGGAAAGAATGAGATAGAGATTCTTTATCACGGATATTAGGGTTCAGTTTCTTCAAACAATTTTCATATCCCAATTCTTTAAAATCTATATGGTTAGCTGCCACTTTAGAATGAGTTAAATATTCAACGACACCTGAAAACAGTCATAAATAAATATATAAACATTGGTTCCACGTTAGAATAGAGCAAAAAATATACTAACATATGGTTTAATTATATTTCAATAATTCGCTTGCACGTAGGGGTCTTTAGCAGTGGGAGAAAACCGGAGGACACAGAGAAAACACACGAGGTTGGACAGGCGACCCTACTCCTTGTCACGTACAAAGGGATTCGAAACCACGCCAGTTGACTCAATGACAGGCCTTATGATACAGCGCACACATGCTAACCATTCGGCCATCCAACTCCCCGTTAGATAAAGAGCTGTGTGATCTTGATATAATAGTTCAAAAATAGATAAATAAAGTAGCTAATCAGAGAGCGAGAGAGAGATGGGGTTCAACATCCACTCCCTAAAACTAGGTCATTTTGTGATTCTATTACTCAATATTCTGCTTGCGTGTAGGAGTCTTTAGCTGTGGGAGGAAACTGGAGGACCCGGAGAAAATCCATGTGATCTGTCAGGTGACCCTACTACTCCTGGTCACGTACAACCGGGGAATCAAAACCACGCCACTTGACTCAATGACAGACCCTGTGATGCAGTCTACGATATCACTTTAGTGGAAGCAGATGTTAAACCACCAGGTAGTAGTAGCCTGTGATGAACCCAGCAGATGCTAACCATTCCGTCTTCCAACCCAACACCCTCATATGTGTGTATAAACCAATGATTGTTTTCCATATAAATTATATCGTGAACTCTAGTAGTAACCTTACCTGAGTCTGGTAGAGAGTTTAAATCACCACACAATAATAAAGGCATGGCGTTAATATCTCTCGCTGTAGCTGTGTTCGGTCGGAATTGTTGTAGTGTGTCTTCGATAATATTACGTAACTCCCACATCAACATCATTGTCTGTATTAATTTCACGTCACAATATTCAGGATCCCAATGGATGTGAGCTGTAGCGACCATGATTTGCTGACGTATTTGATTCTCTGGTGGTTTACCTGAAGAAATGAAATGAAGTTAACAACCTACTGTTTGGCTGCGACAGGGCTAATGAAGACGGGAATGCGCCATACAGCAGCATCACAGCCTACTCTCTTATCAAATTCCAAATGATTGCCTGGGGATCTTTTACGTGCACACCGATGAGTACACAGGACCTGGGTTTTTCATCCGATCGAACGACCATACATTGTGCCTTGCAAGGCCCTCTGTCCTGTACTATTGAAAACAGGGAACCACGTCGGAAAATCGTGGTTTAACTCCTATTGACACAAACTAGGTCATTTCGGGACCAACATATTTTCAATTATACCCATGGGCAAACAGGTTTTTAGTAGTGGGAGAAAACCGGAGGAACCAGCTCGAGTTGAGATTTAAATAAACCTACCATGTTCCCAGATAACTTCTTTTGTTTCTAATAAAGCTGTCAAACCAATATTATCTTTTGTCATAACACGATTCAACATGTCTGCCGAACCTTCTGCGTTCGCCATGGCAATCTGATTAAATTCAATTAACTGTTCTTTGATGAGGGTAAACCTGAAATAGACATTTATATCATGTTAACATTTATCCAGAGTTACCTTTCATTATTCAATAAAACTCAACTGAAGATATCACAGATTTTATTTCACCGAGTTAACTCTGAGAAGTTTAAGGCAGGTGTGAAAAATATGATTCAAACATTTATCTAGAGTTACCTCCCCTTATTCAATGACACATGAAAAGGACATATCTATTTATTAAGGCCAGCTCAATTTTTGTCGAGGTCGTCGAGATGTAAATAAGGTTAGAGCACATTAAGGATGGAATAGGTCAATAAAATACTGTTTATTTAGGGTTTGGTTCTTTGTTAATAGGGATGGGGGGCTGAATGGTTAACGCATGCACGTTGAATCAGACAGAAGGTATGTCATTCATTGAGTCGAGTGGAATGGGTTTCATTCCCCACTTGTACGTGACAAGGAATAGAATTGCCTGTCCAACTTCATGAGTTTCCTCCCGGTCCTCCGATTTCCTCCAACTGCTAAAGACCCCTAGGTGCAAGCGAATTATTGAAATAAAATTGAATCATATATTAGTCTCGAAATAGCCTAGTTTGTGTCAAGTGGATCTTAAACCCTATTTCTCTTTTATTGTTTTGGTGAATATATGAACAGAGCATATTTAAATTCAATGTACTACAGAGAGGAAAGTTTCGACCAAGACTACAGCAGATGGTATCCAGTAATAGTGACGATGATGTCAAAGCGTTTAAATTACTACCCAATATATGTTAGTCCCGAAATAACCTAGTTTGAGTCACGTGGAAGGCAAACCCCATTTATCTCTCTTCAATGTTATCAACCAGTTGTATGAAACTAGACTAGAGGCAATATGAATTTATTAGTTAACAGTTTTGTCGGTTAATCAGGCCTATGTATGTATACAAAATAAAAGATAAAAAATTTTATGACTATTTCAATCTTGTTTGAACAATTAAACGAGTCTATATGGAGAATAAGAGTAAATTTTTATTTTATCACTATATGGTGACAGATCCGGAAATAAAAACAGATCACTGACAGCAGTTACAACACCAGATGGACGCATTTACGACCCATGAAGTACATGTAATTACAATAATATAAACTTGTTAGGTTTTTAGTCCGTACATGAACGTAACATGTACTGTTAATCAGAAAATGTAAGCTGTTCGATGATCTTTTAGAGGCATTTAGTAACTGGATAGAGCAATACACAAGAAACCACCCAAAATTATTAGGCTTCTTCCTCTCATGTATAAATACACATCAATGGGATCATAATTTCAACTGCCAGGGCATCCATAAGATTTTGTTCCAAGAAATGAAATGGGGTTTAACGTCTTACTGTTCTGCTCCGACTGGGCTAACGAAGACGGGCATATGCCATAGTGTGCTATGAGCTAAATTGTGCCTGGGCAGCAGCACTTTGGCCTACTCTTCTATTGAATTTTCAACTGCCAAGGGATCTTTAACATGAAGCAAATTTATATAAGCTTTTAGCTTGTTTTTGTATCATATCTTTAAAACTGTAATGTATTATATATTTTATGAATAAATATTGTTTAAACCAATGTATACACAGGATTTTGTTCAAAGATCAAGGGCAATAACCTAGGAGAAATTAAATCAATGATAACATATACTTATGACTTCCTTTTAGTGTATATTATAAATAACTAGGAATTTACCTATTTTTTTATCACATGCTTGCTAAAGACGAGAGGATCATCGTCGAAACGTCGCATGTTAATAAACCAGTAATGGCTATTCCATAAATATTTTTAGTGTGGGAGTACATACTTGTTTGTTTTATAAAATATGGCACAGCCATCAACGTGTTTCTTTTCCTGCTCTGTCATTGTCTTCGCTCGTGACTTTGGCTCAAATATTCCGTCGTAACCATCCCGCTTTAACTCTGGCAGGAAGAAATTGTGGAACTGTTCCGTTTCGACTTCCTGTAAGCTGATAATATCAGCTGAATAAATTCTGATCTCTTCGATAATACCCTTTTTTCTGTATTCCCAGTTTAAAGCCCAGGAGGGACAGTACCCATACTGTTGTCTTGTACAATATTTATCACATAATACGTTATAACACATCACGGTAAATAGAGCTGAAATAAAAAATACACACAGCATTAAACATACATAATACAAGAACTAAATCTGCCTATTACAGCTCTTTCTTTAAGCCTGAAATCAGTCCTTCATGTTTATAAAATTGTGCGGGAGCCATAAAAAGCTTCCGATATCTTGAATATATGCAGTTTAAAAGTAAACAAAAACTGAAAGTAGTTTATTAATCTCAATATTTAGGAAAGCGAATAAGCTAATTTGCATAAAGACTCCTTCGAAGGAAAGCCGACGTGCGTCGAGAGGCGCAGGAGGGAAAGCTTCCCTTAAACGTGAAGGACTGCTGAAATGTTATCTAAATTATTAATTAGACATTTATTAATATGAAAAGAACATAATCAATTCTCGATGTCATCTCATGTGTCAGATTTTCACTGGATTTGAATCCGGTTCAGAGTGAAGCAAATTGACTGAAATTTTCAGCATATTCTCTTTACATTATCTAGTTTTTAACTATTATTGTGAGCACTGCCAGCTCTTTATCTAAACTTCCAATGTATCTTTCATTATATTTCTCCAGAATACACATTTATATGGTCCATGAAATGGAATGGCGTTTAATGACTTACTGTTTTGCTCGGACTGTGCTAATGAAAACAGGCATATGCCATACAGTGTGTGCTATGAGGGAAATTTTGCCCCATCAACACCATTAAGACCTATTTCAAACTGTCAATTTTTTTATATCCCATCCGAATGACTATGTTGTCCTGCACCACTGACAAAGGGAGACCATGCCGGAAAATACTGATGAACTGTCACTGGCAACTGATCAAGGGAAGATAACTGATGTATATTTTACCTGTGGGACGAGACCGGTCTGGTTCAGCTATAGCCATCCATTGTCTAGTTGGAGGTGCTGTGGCATTAACTGTAAAACACAAAATAATAAAGTCATAAATTTTTATTATCAAAAGATTTACTTTGTATGTATTGGGCAAGGTGGATTGAGGTGGGTGGGTTTAAAATGGGATGGAATGGAGTGGGGTGGAATGGGTAAGGTGGGTTGGAAATGGGATGGCATGGGACGAGGTGGGGCAGGGCAGGGTGCAATGAGTAGGGTGGGTTGGAAATGGAATGGAGTGGGGTGAGGCAGGACGGGGTGGAATGAGTAGGGTGGTTTGGAAATGTTATAATTTTTTAAAAAGTATCTCAAAACCAAACTTTTTAATCAAATATACAACTGATTCAATATGGTTCTAGCTGTGTTTGTGTCTACTGTGATTATAAATTACTTATTATTATTACCTATTTGTTTTGCATTATGTATGTTAAAATGTATTTTTTCTCCGATATCAGTTAAAACTACATGATATATAATCACCATACACAAATAAATATAAGTTCTTTGTTTTGTTTTGTATGGAATTGAAATGAAATAAAATGAAATGGAGTTTAACGTCCTACTGTTCTGCTCCTAACCTGGGCTTTTGAAGACGGGCATACACCATACAGTGTGCTATGAGGGAAATTTTGCCCGGGCAGCAGCGTTATGGCCTACTCCAATGAGTACACAGGACCTCAGTTTCTCGTCCCATCCGAACGACTAGACAGCTATTTTGTATGGAATTGTGTTGCACTGGTAATATGGATGATGTTAAATAAATGATGGATTTGTCTTGTCAATCTATTGCTGGCTACTGGTAGTGAATCTTGATGTAATCTGGGATTGTTAAAATTTTCAACAAATTCAAATTAAAGGAAATTTTGTTTATTTCTAAAGAGTAGTCAGAATTTGTTGAAAAATATCCAGACTTTTTTACCGAAAAATATAAATGACGAGGCAAAAGAGAAAGATTGCAGTCATTTTTACATCAAACTATCATCAAATGTATGAATAGCTAATATTTAATACATAATAACAATATTTTCACAATCTGTTACACATATTCCTGATATATTTGCTTTGATCTTTTAAAATCTTTTTTTTTGTTCATGAATATTTGTTGGTATCTGTATTAAGAGCGATATATTTCCTCATCTTTTTATTGTTATGAATATGTTGTTGGTATTATGTATGAGTATTAGCTGTTTCCCGGACAGCTGCAATACCGCCTACTCCTATATTTAATTCTAGATGTCAATGGTACTTTTACGTGCACACCAATGTGTCCACAGGACTTCACTATATCGTCCCATCCAAACGACTAGACAGCTGTCTTTGCCAGGCCTTCCCTCCTGCACAACTGACATTAGGGAAAACTAGAGGTAGTACAACACGACCAGTTCACTGTCGCTCCCAGCTTTTTCACGACTAGACCCTCCTTCCTGCACCACTGACAAGAGGGAACACTAGAGGTAGTATAACTCTGATATCTGAAGTGGTAGTGGAACACGACCAGTTCATTGTCCCTCCTAGCTCGAGCTGCCCGCAGGTGAAATTTCAGACTTGGTGCAGACGCCAACCGAGAACAAACTAACAAACGCCAGTCAAAGAAACAAAAAAAAAATGGGGTTTAACGTCCACTCGACACAAACTAGGTTATTTCAATAATTCGCTTGCACGTAGGGGTCTTTAGCAGTATGAGAAAACCGGAGGACCTGGAGAAAACCCACTGGTTGAACAGGCGACCCTACTCCTTGTCACGTACAACCGGAGATTTGAAACCACGCCAGTTGACTCAATGACAGGCCTGATGATAAAGCACGCGCATGCTAACCATTCGGCCATCCAACCCTCCTAAATGACAGTCACAAACATAGATATTGTTTATATATGTTATGAAGGTGTAACATGTTGAAGCATGTTATAATTTTATTGCGTTCTGATTTTCTCAAGGCAACCATCTCTGCGTAGGCATTGTATCCTTTATGTTCCCTTCCCATAATACGACAATACCACCTATAATCCCCTTTTATATTTAATCTTTTATCTATCTATATTCACCTTCCAATGTCCTTTATGTACTAAATATGTTTTAATATACATGTAATATGATATAATTCATTATATACATTAACATATTACAAGCCATAAATAATTGTCCTGATTTTTTTTTAAAATATCTAACGGTTGAATGAACACACAAATAGCACAACTAAACTACTGGACCGAATCAGTTCCCATATTCTAGATGAGATAAAGATGGAGAGAAACTGGGTTTAAAGGGTCAATACCACTCTTGTAACTGAATAATATGTCCCAATCTTTATTCTGGTCAACAAATTGTTGTATTTTACAATATTCCAGTTAATTGATAATACAAATTGTACTATTTTACAATATTCCAATTAATTGATGATACAAACACACCTAATTTAAAAATTTTGAAAAATTCAACATAACGGTTTGAAACGTCTAACGTAAACCTTTTCAAATGAAACTTTGATTTAAAAATATTTCCGAACCCTCTGGACAAGTAAAATAGGATGTAATGGATAATTTACACAACAGGTAGGACACTTAAACATCTAGTACTTAGATAGAGATATTATTTATTTTCTGGAGCTTTCAAGCCAGCAAGAGTGTTATTGTCCCAATAATATGAGAGAGAGAGAGAGAGAGAGAGAGGGAGAGAGAGAGAGAGGAGTCCACTCACACAAACTAGGTCACTTCGGGACTAACACACATGGTTTAATTTTATTGTAATAATTCGCTTGCAATAAGAAAACCCAGCCTACTCCTTGTCATGTACAACCGGGGAATTGAAACCACGCCAGTTGAATCAATGACAGACTTTATGATACAACACGCACACGTTAACCATTCGGCCATCAAATCCCCCCATGGCAATTAAAACAGAATCTTGAAAGCTAATTAAAGTTGGGAATCCTTGAAACTGGTTTCATATTCAGTCAGACTTTGCACCAATACGAGCACGATCGACGTCACAATTTAAAGATGGTTGTCGTTTTTGTTCTTAACAGAGTTAAACGTTCTTTGAATAAGGTCAAAACGTGGTTTAGTTAGGTTGTTCCGATTTATCATGTGGGAAGCTCCGTACAACTTTCTTTTTTTTTTTTGTTAAAAGTCGATCAAAAGTCAGCTTGTTTACAATTTTCGTATATATTTTATTTCTAACATCAGCTCTGTCAACTACACAATAAGTTTTATTACAATCAATCACAATATTTCCGCTATATATTGATCTTAATTTCAGAACTTAGACAGATTGTCATCCACAAAACAAATTAACTCATAAAATGCAATAAAATTGAAAATGCTCTAATTGTATCAGCAGCAAATGAATGTTGGATGCAAACACAAGAGAGAGAGAGAGAGAGAGAGAGAGATTAAGCACCACTGACATAAACTAGGTAATTTCGGGACTAACACATGGTTCAATTTTATTGCAATGATTCGCTTGCCTGTAGGGGTTTGTGTTGAGTGGACATTAAAACACATCTCTCTCTCTCTCATATGATTTGGTCCGCTTTTCTTTGCGCAAGGTTCTGAAAGAAAATGGGTTTAAGTTCTACTATTCTGCTGGGCTAATGAAGACGGGACAAGGTTGTTCTATGCAAGTTTTAAGCATAAATTATTGTTTTCTATAACAGTTCTCTACCATATAAAAAAAAAAAGATTCTTGAAATAGCCAGATACACACAGAAGATATTCTGACAAACAAAGTAATATCTAATCTTATAATCATTAACCCTTCAAAAAAGAGAGAGAGAGAAATGGGGTTTAACGTCCACTCGACACAAACTAGGTCATTTCGGGACTAACATATGGTTTAATTTTATTTCAATAATTCGCTTGCGCATAGGGGTCTTTAGCAGTGGGAGGAAACCGGAGGACTCAGAGAAAACCCACGAGATTGGACAGGCCACCCTACTCCTTGCCACGTACAACCGGGGATTCGACCCTTCAAAAAACGTCAGTTTCATCTTGAAATCGATCTGCCAGGTTTCTTACTATTTTTATATTTGGTTTTAAATAGGGAGCATGCATGTAAAAGTGTCCCTGACAGTTGGAATACGATGCATTAGAATAGGCTGTAATGCCGCTCTCTGGCTAAAATTTCCCTCATAGCAGGGAAAACGTCTTTATTAGTCCAGTTTGTGCAGAATAGTAGGACGCGATAAACCCACTTCATTTTGTTTGTAAATGAAATGGGGTTTAATGTCCTACTGTTCTGCTCCTATACTGGGCTAATGATGACAGGCATACGCCATACAGTGTGCTATGAGGGAAATTTTGCCCGGGCAGCGGCACTATCGCCTTCTCTTATATCCCATTCCAACTGCCAGGTGGTCTTTTATGTGCATTCCAATATATACACCGGACCTCAGTTTACCGTATCATCCGAAGGACTAGACAGCTGTCCTTGTCAGGCCCTCCACATTTTGTTTGTAAGTAGAACATAAAAAAAAAAAAAATTATTTTCTCACACGTATATAATATATTCACCACCCTTGTTTCATATTTTTAGTCATTTGGACAAAAAAATTGGTCATGCATGAACACAACAACTCTACATAGATACACTGGGTTGGTCAACCATAAAACATCTGATCAACATTCCTTCCACGTCTTGTTGTACAAATAATAATTTGATGTTTTCTCGACAAAGTTATCATATCAGAAAAATATTTCAAATATTTTCATGTGAAATAAATCCAACGTCAGCCAATTGCATTTTTCGGGCAATATGTAAGAGCTATTAATGTTGTAAAAATTATTTAGACATTTATTAACCTGACTAGACCATAATCAATTCTTTATACCATCAGAATGGCCGAGATTTAAATGGATTAAAAAGCGGTTGAAATTTAGCCAAGTCTCAAAATACAGAGAGAGAGAAATGGGGTTTAACATCCACTCGACACAAACTAGGTCATTTTGGGACTAACACATGGTTCAATTTTATATCTATAATTCTCTTACGCGTAGGAGTCTTTAGCAGTGGAAGGAAACCGGGGGACCCG